GGTGGCGGGCCGGTGACCAGGAAGCTCGGGGGGCAGGGCCCGCGTCCCCGGCACCGCACCTCGGGGCCAGCCTCACTGCCACGGCTCCCCCGCAAGCCAGAAACCCGCCTCCCAGCCGGACCCCGCTGAGGGCCGGCTCCTGCTCACCATGGAGACGGTTCTGCTCCGCGCTATTCCCACTAGAGCACAGAAAAAAATCTGTGCTTCGCGTGCCAACACCAGCGTTACTGTGCATCTGCATAACAGGGCACTGATTTTAGTCTGCACAGAACGCACAGAATCCCCGCGCTGAGGAGAACCTCAAACATCATCCGAATCTGGGCAGATTTTCCCAGGAAGTGCACAGACATTGTCACCTACAATTACTTCCCGTTAACATGCACGTTTGGTGTCCTCTCGATAAACCCATTTTCCTTGGGCTGCACCCGGGTCCGGCGCACTGCCACCCGAGCCCCGTGGGACACACGAGGCTGCACCCAGAAGCCACTCAGGCTACACTGTCAGTTGGCCGACAACAGACTCTGAATCGGTCAGCAGCAGCAGCAGCCGTTTGAAAGCTCCTGGTGAAACGCACAGGGTGGACAGGAGGGGAACCACGGGACCCTGCCCTGGCTCCTCAAGGAACACACACACTGGGGAGCCGGCCCCCGAGGCCCGAGCCCTCTGGTGGCAGACGAGGCCCCAACAGGAAACCGGGGAAGGCGGCTCGTGTCCGGTTACCCTGGGCCCCTGAGAGCTGCTGCACTTTATTTTTCACCCCTCGCCCGGGGATATGTTTATTGATTTTAGAGAAAGTGGGAGGGAGGGAGGGAAAGAGAGAAAAACACCAAACGGTTGCCTCCCACGTGCACTCCACTGGGGACCAAGCCAGCAACCTCGGTCTGTGCCCGTCTGGGAAATGAACCCGCGACCTTTTGGGGTGCGGACAAGCTCCAGCCAGCCGAGCTGTGTTTTCAGACGGATGGCCGCTTCCCCGGTGACGGCAGGGACCACTTCCTGCTCCGTCTCTGTTGGTGGCATCATGCGGCATGGGCCACCAGCGGAGCTGGGGCGGTCCGGACACTTCGGACCGAATGGACACGTTAGCGCCCTGTGTCTCAAGATGTCGGGGACGTTTGTCCAAGATCAGACCTGTGGAAACCACACCCCGGGTGTCATGTGACTGCCGGAATAGCAAATCTTGAGCCTTTGAAATCTTAAATCCGAAAAGATAGAAGCGTTCCTCTGAATAAGCCACTTACATCATGCAAATCTGATTCTCGTTCGATTTGTCAGAGCCAAGTCCAAAGTCTTCTGGACTTCTTAACCAAAATATCACTGAATCCTAGGGTGTTTGCACAAACTCAGTTGCCAAGGAAATCTGCATGTGGGGAAACAGGCTGAAGCCCGTGGAGCCGCCAGTGACGGGCTGTCGGCCCTGATCCAGGCCCCGATCCAGCCCCCGGCGGACGAGCCGGTGTGAGGGTAGCAGCCCCCACTCCGTGTGCGCTGGGGCCCCGGGTCGGTGTGACCCCTGATGCCCGTCACGGTGCCGGCACCCAGAGCCGTCTGTGCTTCCCGCCAGGGACACGCGGAAGGACCGGGGCACTGACAGGCCCCACGCCCTGTTGCCAGCCACCCCCACAGGCTGCGTGTTCCCTGTTCGCAGGGCCCCCGTCTCCACGTCCACCCCAGGGTCGCCGTCTGCTGCAGTCACCCCCACCCCACCCGAGGGCGGGCGTCGGCGCGGCACAAACCGTGCGTCCTTCCGACTTCCCAGCAGCCCGTGAGGCAGGTGTCGCTGTGCCCGGGTCAAGGGCGAAGGGACAGAGCACAGAGAGGCCGAGCACTTGACCCCACCTCCCAGCCCCCTGGTGCTCACGGCTTCTGAAGCTCAAGGGCAGGAGGCCCTCTCTCTCCCCGGCCCCCAGCTCTCCATCTGCTGCTCAATCTCCCCCCAGAACAGCTTTCAAGTAGCTTCTCAAAGTCCGTGCCTGGAAGCGTGTCTGCTGAACGAAACCCCTTGTTCATTCAATCAGTATTTGCTGAGTGCAGGGGGCGTTCCGGGCCCCGTTCTGGGCTGGCGGCGGGGGGGGGGGGGGGCGTGTCGATTAGAGAGACGGGCAAGTTCTCCCAGGGCTCCTGGAGCTCTCGGCCGCCAGGGACACTGAGGTGAGGGCTAGGGCTGCAGAGGGAACGAATGGGCCCAGAGCGACGTCCCCAAAGATGGGAAACAGGACCAGTGGAGCCCCTGACGCAGGCCCCACCCCGGAAAGGTGCCCGCTGCCCGTCTCGGCCTGGCCCAGAGCCCACCCCTGGACGCCTCCGGCCCGTCCTATCCTGGACCCCACCGTGGCCCTCGGGCCTGGTGGAGGAGTCCCCGTGAGGCGGACGGAAGTGCCCACCCTCGCCTCGCACCTCCAGGCGGGTCCATTCACGGACTCGGCTCAGGCCGAGCCCCGTCACTGCTCACGTGGGGTCTCTGTCCGGGCCCCCGGGTGTGAGCTGCACACGAGGTGCTGGCACGGCAGGTGGGCGATGGGGGCCCGGCCACCTGCTCCGGAGCCCAGCTGTCCTGCCGCCCTGCTCACGCTCGGTGCTGGACATGCCCCTCGGGCCTCTGCGGCACCTCCAACCTACGGCCTGTGGGAGCGTCTGCGGCAGCTCTGATCTCGAGAGCGGAAACAGTCTAAACACCCCAGGGCGCCACATGCGTGTCCCGGCCCTTCCTCGCTCACGTCCCTGGCTGGTCGCGTAGGGAACGGTGTCCTTCTGCTGGCCCTGCACACGCACGAGGAGCCAGAGCTGGGGCTCTTCGAGGGAGGACACGCTGCCTGTGGCTCCCCAGCCCCTGGCGTCTGCGGGGAACCAGCGTCGGCCCCCCAGCCAGCAGCGCCCCCCCCCCCCCGGAGCTCTCCAGCCCTTCTCCCAGGAGCAGCCGCCGAAATAGCGCAAACGGCACATCCGTAGGTCACAGGATGACCCCAAGGCCGGGCCCTGCGGTCTGATGAGCAGTTACTTCCGCGCTGAGTGCCTTTTCTCCGTTTTCTCCTCCTTCTTCTCACACCCCCATCACAGGTGTGCACAGGTAACCAGGTTCTTACTGATCGAGGACAAAGAATTGAACCGAACACACAAAGTTTATAGCATAAAGAAAGAGGGAAGGTTTATTAAGTGATAGTACACGCCACAGGACACGGGAGTGGGCCAACTCTGAGCAGAGAAGAAAAAAGGACACGTGGGCTGGGGGATTCTATTCTTATAGGGCAGGAGCCCCTTTGCTAGTCTTTGGCGGGCTTTTCCTGCGCAGGTACAAGGAGTTGGATTCCCAAGCTACTGCGCGTGTGTGGTTTCCCATGATTTTCTTGACTGGCTGCTGGAGAAGGGAGTCCCACAGTGTTATTTCATTATAATGATATTATAATGAATCAGGGGTAGCGCGCAGGTGCATTCCATGATTCGGAGTTATCCCAGAAAACAGGAACAACCCGTCTTAGGGGGTCTTTGTCATGTATAGATGTTTTCTACCTCAGCCCTGGGGGGGCTCTGGAGCTTCCTTCCTGACTATCTCCTGCCTCACCCCCACCCCACCCCAGCACCACCGCTCTCATCGATGCCGGTCACCGAGGTCAGGACACGCGACTTCTGCAGGAAGCATCTGGAAGCCTCCTGGCCTCGCTCAGGAGCAGGTGCTGTGCGCTGCCGACGCCCAGGCAGGCGGCACTGACGAGGCCCATGAGCCTGCAGACGGGGCTCAGCCACCACCGTGTGAGTCTCCGCCCGTCTGCCCGCGACAGGGCCACAACCCCAGTGACGCCTGCTCTTTGGGCTCTCCTGTGCCGTCCAACTGCCCGCGGCGACTGGAGATGCACAGGGAACAGCTCAGCCACCCTTCATGGCTCGTGAAATACAGAAACGAGGAGGAAGGCGGGACTCCGGCCGTGACGGGTCACAGGGCAGGGGCCACCGGGGCTGTCACCAGGGAGGCCCTGCCCTTCCTTCCGTGCCGGGGAAACTCGGCCTCAGGTCCCATGGTCACCGAGTGGCCCCCTCCCCCGTGGCCAACAGGACAATGACAAGACTGAGACTCCTAGGAAGGAGCCTTCCCAGCGCTGAGACCGCACGCTCCAACCCAAAGCTCGGGCACCGACGCAGCCGTCAGACCGATTTAGGACCCCAGGGGGAGCTGTGGGCAGGCCAGGGGCTGAGGGAGGGGAACCTCCCAGGGGATCTGGGCATCGGTTCCTGACCGGGCAGGTCAGGGTGGGCGGCCACGCCCCTGGCTCGTCACTTCTGCAGCGAAAGGCTCTGAGCCCGCCCTGTCTGTCTGCCCGCCCTGAAGCACCACCAAGGGCCACTCTGTCCATGAGGGCAGACGCACTGCAGGTCGTCTAGCAACAGCGGCCACCGGGAGGTGCCTGGGGGGCTCAGGCCACAGGCACAGCTTCGGGTCAGTGGGAACCGGTGGTCAGTCCCCCCACCCACCCCCCCATCCCCATGCTCCGTGAGCTCAGGACAGGGACACCGAGGAACACTGACGTGTCCCTGTGACTGTCGGGGCCCTGGTCCCCAGGACGGAGGGCTGTGTGCTTCCCACGACCACGCCTGGACAGCATGGGTGCCTGGACCAGCCTGGCAGGGGTTTCGGACACTCACACTGTCCACTCAAGACTGGACGCCGAGTGTGTCGGCAAGAATGATGCCAGGGCTCTGAGGAAGGGTCTCTGACCGCCCCCCACGGGGAGGCCGGGCCTGAGAACTTTGGAGACTCCAGATACCCGAGCGCTTCGACTGACACATACGGGGGGGTGGGGGGGGGTCACAGAAATGAACTTGGAGAAGCTGACGGGACTTGACCCACGGACCCTGGAGTTGGCCACGCGGGGCCTCCCGTGTGCATGGGGCCGGGGCATCGGGTGCCGGGGGAGGGGACGGCCGCCCCTTCCGGCCTCAGCGCACCCCGAGGGTTTGCTGCTCCTCACCCCAGACTGCAGGGACACAGAAAAGATGTAATTCAGGAGTTCGTTGCATAATTTAATACACCCAGCTACTGCCAGTTTTCAGTTTAATAGGTTTTGATAAGAGCCAAGTGCCCTTGAGTCCACACACTGTCCAGCCTGCTTCAGGTGCCGCTTGGCGGGTCAGAACCGAGCACAGGGCCACCGGGCTGCAGCCGCCCGCACGTCGACGCCGGTGCCGGCTGGCTTCTCCGCAGCCGCGGGGACCACGGGCAGCCCGGCCCCGGGTAGGGGGGCCAGGGCCAGTATCTTCAGCCATCCTGACCTCCTGAAATGCACAAGACACTTTTCCCGACCTCTCTCACACGTCCCGTCGTTGTGAGAAATTACTCATAAAAACAGTCAGCAGACCTTGGGGGCAGGCGCGCAGAGCGCCTGGCGTCTGCGGGTCAGCAGGACTCCGAGGCTCTGGGTTTCCGGGGGCGGAGCCTCACCCCCGGGCCCTCACAGTGAGACCGCAGCCAGGCTCGGTGGGAGACGTGCTCTCCCAAAAATACTGCGTCGATGCATTCGTCAAGGTACAATATCCTAAAAATATTCAGATTCTGCAAGGTTCTAGGCTGTAAAAAATACAAAGGCTAAAAACAAAATGTTTACAAAATTTTGCAAACCCAGTCAATTTAAACGAGTAAGAAATGAAGAAAAGTGCTCTTTCTGGCGGGACCGGTGACATGGAATGCAGGGTTGAGAACAGCCACGCGGGACGGTGACGGCACACGCGACCACACGCGACCACACGCACTGCTGCCCTTTGGAGTCTGCCGTGTGGGCCTGGGAGCCGCCCGTGTCCGCACAGGCAAAGCACACGGCATGTGACACATCACATCCCAGACGGAGCACAAAGGAGAGATTCAGTTACAAAGACCTAACGTGATTTGTTTTGAAATGTTAAAAGCGCGATAGTTGGAAACCATTATAAAACTTCTAGGTGGAGCAGGGCGGTCGATGACGGGCTCTCACAGAGCCACCAGCTGGGCCTCACGAGGGGGTAACAGTCGGTGACCGGGGCACGGACCCCGCGGTGCGTCGTGACCGTCGCTGGCTCCAGCCCACTGGAAACCCGCAGGCTTCCAACCCGGCACGGGCCACGGCTCCCACAGGGAACGGGCCGCGCCGGCCGCCTGTGGGGCAGGCACTGTCCCGACCACAGAGCCCTCGGCCGCTCTGCGGGCGCCGACCACACGCAGCTGGAGAGCGTGGGAGGGAGACACAGGCGAGCGGGATGGCCCTGAGCTGGTGCGGGGCGCTCCACAGACGGGAAGGGCCGTGTAAACATCTGTGGGCCCTCTGGCGTCACAGCGCGAGGGTCCGGGCCGCCTCGTCACCCACGAAACGCCGTCCGCGGAGGTTCGCTGCGAGGGAGTTCCACCGCCGGCACGGAAGAGGAAGGGGTCACGGGTCTCGGGCCAGCCTGTACACGTGGAACGTCTTGTTCTGGAACACCCGCGTGAAGAGCCGCGTGTATGCAGGCAGGTCCCTCCGGACCTCCTCGCAGAAGCGGGGGTGGCCGGCCTGCCTCAGGTCCGGCTCGTTCTCCCCCGGGCCGTCCATCACCTGGAGCCGAGACAGAGCCCCGTGCGATTCGGTAAAAAAGAAAAAGTCACTTTTGTAGGAGACGGCACACGTGGGGACACTGGGTTCTCCCGTGGACCTGCGTGGTCTGGTTTCAACGCCAGTGGCCACTGGGGGTCCCCCGGTGCCCTGGCCCCCATAGGTGAGCGCCAAGGCCAGGAGCCACCTTCTGTGGCAAAGCGGGAGTGGCCTGGACCTCTGTCACTCCTGTCCTCTTCGCTTGGAAAGCGAAGTCCGAGCAGGACCACTACGAGCAGAGACCCCCCTCCCCAGCGCACCGGACGGCCCGGCTCGGCCCGAGAGCGCCCCGTGTCTGCTGCACAAGAGGCCCACGAGGACGGCGGGAGGCGGAGGCACCGCCGACACCGGTGACGCTGCAGGGCAGAGGCTTCCAGGAGGCGAAGGCGCTGGCAGCGAGCCCTTCCCCGTGGACGCTGGGTGGGGGCCTGCCCAGCCAGCTGAGGACGGGCTCTGCCTGCCCTGCCCGGGGCGGGGGGCACCCCCAGGGGGTACCCCACACTCGCCCACCCCCTCCACGGCCCGGGGGACACGGAGCGGAGGCCGTGGTGCAGTGTCGCTCCGCAGCGTACGGGGACGCCAGCACCGCCCAGGCCCCTGGGAGCCCCCCCCACCCTGGGCCGCGCACTCACGTGCCCGTTGGCCACGTCCAGCAGGTCCCGCAGCCGGCAGCCCCGCCGGTGCCGCCGCTCGTAGCAGACGCTGTCCTCCAGGATGACGTAGTCGGCGCCCAGGGCCCGCAGCAGGGCGTGCACCTCCTCCGGGGGCCTCTTCGCATAGATCTGGTAGACCTGCGGGGGGAGGGGGGTTGCGGCGCCACTCAGCGGCCGGGCAGTCCACCGAGGGCACGCTGCAGCCTGGCCCCACGAGGGGCGCTCTCTGGGCACCTCCGCCCGAGCCCCCTCCCAGCCCTCGCCGGACCCCAGAAGCCAGAGAAGGCGCAGCAGGCACTCACGGCCTTGGTCCGGGCCCGCAGGCCACTGTCCTCGTAGTGGGGGTGGTTGGTGAGGGTCCGGCCCGTGCACAGCTTGACCCCGGCCAGCAGCTGCATGCTCCCGGCGAACACCGCCGTCCCTGGGGTGTTAGCCCTGGAAGGGTGGGCGTCTGGGTCAGCCCGCTGCCGGGCTGCTCGCGGGCACCAGTGCAGGCGGTGCCGTGCCGCCGGCCCTGTGGCCGGAAAACGCCACGGAGGCAGCCTGAGACGCTCGTCTGCACTCAGACCGGTTCACACGCTTCCACACCCGTGTTGCGTTGGGAGCTCGCACAGGCGGCTCTGACGGGCTGCCCTCCCAGTAGTCTGCCTCGGGCCCACGGCCTCCCAGCCCCACCACGCCCTCCCAGCCGGCTCCCACGGGAGGAGAGGAGAGGACGCAAGAGCTCCCCTTGCTTTTTGGGTAAATGACTGCCCACCACAGACAAGGAGCCTCAAAGCCAGAAAGTGCAGACGAGCAGGTCAGCTCCAAGGGCTTCGTTTAAAACCAGCAGACGAGACCCCAGAAATGCAAACGGAAGAGCCCGGAGACGGGCTCCAGCCCGAGAGCTGGCGTCACTCCGTGGGGCGCGGCACCGAGTCTGCCCTGGCAACCAGTGTCTCCCAGGAGGCCAGGACTCAGGGCAAGGGGCCTCCGCCACCAAACCACAACCTCGCTCCCCGGACACCAGAGCCCCGACTTTGGGGGAGCCGCCTTCCTCCCCCCGCCCTGGAGAAAAGACCCTTAGTAGAAGATTCGACTCCCTCCCGCTGCGTTGGAATCTGGGAGCGATCCGCCAGTGGGCACGGCGTCCCCGTGGGGAACACGCCCGCGGCTCCTGTGCCCCCTACACACAGACCAGGCCACTGAGAGGGGCTGGCCCCCGACAGGCTCCGAGGGAGGGCGGCAGTGGGCGGCCCCGAAGGCTGGGGCCAGACAGGACCTGAGCCCCCTGCAGGCTCACCGCCCAGCCCCCAGCCCCGGAGGCTGCTCCAGTGACTCCCATTCAATGCCAGTCCAGCCGAGGCCTGAGCGTGTCCACGGGCAAGACACCCTGCAGTTCCAGTGCTGCAAACAGTTTCCTTTGGAAAAACTCACGACTTCCTCCTCAACAGTGGAACCCTCATTCACAGACTCGGGGAAGGCGGCTGACTGGCAGCAGAGCCAGGAACGCGGGTCCCGGGGGGAAGAGCTCCAGGGAGCCAGGCTGGGTGCAGAGGTGGTCCCGGACCAGCAGGCCCCGGCGCACGAGCCAGGGAGGTGTTTGCTCCGCCCCCTGGGCCAGCAGTTTCCAGGGACCTCTGGACATCTGACCCACGGGGTCAGGGCACCGGGACAACGGGGCGGTTCAGAGTCCTCTGGGGAAGGTTCACAGAAGCTCAGCCTATTCGCTGCGCGATCACCGAACACCCTCTGTGGCCGTGGCCGCCAGCGACGGCAGACACAGACCAACGCTTAGGACAGAGGCCGCATCGTCCTCCCGGCCCAGCTGCCCCGGCCTGTCCACTCTCCGCCGGCCTCAACCGGCCCACTGCCCTCCGGGGTCCGAGAGCATCGCGGGTTAACGCCCAGGGCGCCGTCTCCAGTCCTCTGGACAGACAGGCCCAGGCCCGGGAAGGAGACCCTGGGGACGTGTTCAGCAGAGACGGGGGACAGGGGCCACGGGCCACGGGGCGGGGGGGTGGCCTAGCGTCACTGCCTGAGTCCCCAGCGGGGCCCACAGAGAGCTGTCCACAGGGCACGGCGCGCGGGGCTGGGGCGGAGGCGGGGGCCGGGCCGTCGGTGGCGCTGCCGAACACGTGCCTGGCCGGGGCGGCGCCTCCTGTCCGCACGGCCGGGTCCGGGCAGGGTCTCCCCGGGGTCCGGGTCTCGTTCAGAGGAGCAGAGAGCAGGTGCCGGTCCGGGGCCCATGGGGAGCAGGGCCAGGACCTCTGCGGACACCCAGCCCCGCGCCCGGCAGAGAGGGCGTCTGCCGTGCGCCCAGCCCGGTTCTCTGTCCCGGCCCCGCGGCGCGTCTCAGAGCGCGCCGGCCTCCGAGGTCGGCAGGGACTCTCATGGCTGTGCCACAGACACACACGCTGGAACCAAGTGAAAAACACACGTTTTCCAAACCTAAGAGACCGAGGCCTCGGGGATTTGCGCTTTCTGTGGAGAAGTTCTCGGGCGCGGGGAGGGACAGGCCTGTGGCTGGCGCAGACGCCGGCTGCCAACCCCACACGACAGACACGTCCTGACTGGAGACAGCCGGCCACGGGGCTCCGGCCAAGGTGGAGGCGCAGGCAGAAACGCTTGGCTTCCTCCCACAACCACAAGGACAACAACCAATTTAAAAACCACAAACAACCAGAACTGCCAGAAAACCAATCTCCGACAACCAAGGAGTTGAAGAGACATTCGTCCAGAGACTGGTGCGCCGAGACAAAGAAATGTGGCCCAAACGAAACAACAGATCAAAACTCCAGAAAAGGAGCTAAGTGACAAGGAGATGGACAACCTGTCAGATGCAGAGTTCAAAGCACTGGTCATCAGGATGCTCACAGAATCGGCTGAGGATGGTGGCAAAATAGAGGAAGAAGAGGAGAAATAGAGGCTTTGCAAAGTGAAATAAAGGAAAATGTACAGGGAACCAACAGTGACGGGAAGGAAACTGGGACTCGAATCAACAGTTTGGAGCAGAAGGAAGAAATAAACATTCAACCACAACAGAATGAAGAAACAAGAATTCAGAATAATGAGGAGAGGCTTAAGAACCTCTGGGACAACTTCAAACGTTCCAACATCTGAATCATAGGGGTGACAGAAGGAGAAGAGGAAGAGCAAGAAATAGAAAACTTACTTGAACAAATAAAGGAGAACTTCCCCATTCTGACAAAGGAAACAGACTTCCAGGAAGTCCAGGAAGCTCAGAGTCTCCCAAAGAAGCTGGACCCAAGGAAGCACACACCAAGGCACATCATAATTAAGTTATTCAAGATTAAAGATAAGAAGAGAATCTTAAAGCAACAAGAGAAAAAGGAGACAGTTAACTACAAAGGAGTGCCCATAAGGCTGTCAGCTAAGCCCTGGCTGGTGTGTCTCAGTGGATTGAGTGCTGGCCCGAGAACCAAAGGGTCGCCTGTTCGATTCCCAGCCAGGGTATATGCCTGGGTTACGCACCAGACCCCTAGTAAGGGGTGCAAGTGAGAGGCAACCACACACTGATATTTCTCTCCCTCTCTTTCTCCCTTACCTTCCCCTCTCTCCAAAAGTAAATAAAATCTTTAAAAAAATAGTCAATCCATTGACATTTCTTTCCTCCCCTCTCTAAAAAGATAAAAGAAGGAAAAAATTTTTTTAAAAGACTGTCAGATGATTTCTCAAAATAAATCTTGCAGGCAATAAGGGGCTGGAAAGAAGTATTCCAAGTCATGAAAGGCAAGGACCTACATCCAAGATTGCTCTACCCAGCAAAGCTTTCATTTAGAATAGAAGGGCAGATAAAGTGCTTCTCAGATAAGGCCAAGTTAAAGGAGTTCATCATCACCAAGCCCTTATTATATGAAATGTTAAAGGGACTTATCTAAGGAAAAAAAGATCAAAACTGTGAAAGTAAAATGACAACAAACTCACAACTAACAACCACCGAACCTAAAAAAACAAAAACAAAAATTAAGCAAACAACTTGAACAGGAACAGAATCACATAAATGGGGGTCACATGGAGGGTTACCACCAGGGAGGAGGAGGGGGAGAATGGGGAAAAGGCACAGAGAATAAGCAGCATGACTGGCAGGTACAAAACAGACGGGGGAGGGTGAGAACAGTGTGGGAACTGGAGAAGCCGAAGAACTTACACACGTGACCCGCGGACGTGCACCAAGGGGGGAGGGTACATGGCAGAAGGGGATAAAGGGGAGAGGAAAACGGGGGCAACTGCAATGGCACCGTCAACAAGACACACTTTAAAACAAACAAACGAACAAAGCCAGCCCCACCGACGTCTGAGCCCGGGGGGTGGTGGGGGGGCATCTGCCCCTGCAGCTCTCTGCCGGGCTCCTCAGCCGCCGCCTAACCCTGGACACCGTGTCCTGTGAGGGGCGCCACGCGGCGAGGGCGCTGGGGGCGGCAGGCACACGCAGGCCGGAGGGTTCATGTTGTGCACGTTACGTGCCGTCCCAGAAAGACCTGGTGGCATCTGGGGCAAAAACTCTCATTTGCTTTTGAAGCTCGAAACTGGAAACAGGTTGACGACCGCTGACCCAGCGGGTGAGCTGAGCACCAGCGCGTGGACAGCTGCTCCACCCCCACCCCGGGGTTCACAGGGTCACGGAGAGACCTCGAAGGGACTCGGGCGACGTAAAAGCGGCTTCTAGGCACTTAAGGTCTGAACTTCACCCACCTCCTGTGTAAAACATGCAGAGCAATTCTTTGTGCTCTGATTAAATGCAAAGGAAGTTCCGTCCATTTTCTTAATCCCAACACCCCACGCTCGCCCCCTCACCGGGAGAGACTATTTCTAGAAGCCAAGCAATGGGGATGTCGCACCTCCCAACACTCGGACCCCCGGGTCCCTCTGAACTGCACAGGGACGAAGGAGGGCCCCAGCGACCGACCGACGCACAGTGTGAGGACACAGAGGGGCCGGGTGCGAACCCCGGGTGCCGCGGCGTCGGGCCTCGTGAAGCGAGGCGCCTCCTGGACACCCAGACCCGTGGGAGGGCCCCCGGGCTTTGCTGACGGAGGTCTTCACCCGGCGCAAACGCCCGGGTTTCGAACTTCCGTCCGGGAGACACGGGCAGCCAGGGTGGTGCCGGGGGACACTCGCAGGTTGGTGCGCTGGGCTCGCCTGCGCGGGCGACCCCCCCACTGCCGGTCCCCCAGGGAGGACTCCTGGGGGCCGACATCACAACTGTCCTCACACGTGACTGAGAAATTCAGCCCTGAAGGAGTCTTGGTTTTACACTTAAATTCAAATCTCCCCTAAGGAGCTCAGGACCAAAATGCACAAAACATTTTCTGTGACTAAAAATTAGAACTCCATAAAATTTTTTCTGCTGAAACCGGTTAAGCCTCTCACTGTCTTACCACGCAGTCAAGAATAAGAAGCTACAAAGGCACAGATTTCGCCCGGAGACCTGGGCTGCCAGACGCCCGCCCCACAGCACAGGGCCAGGGCGCCGCACAGCCCTTGGGCCGCAAGGCCGGGGTGCGGGACGGGGACGTGGGGGTTGCTGGGGGAGGCTCCCCGCCGGGGCTGCCCCGAGCTGCATGAGCCCACCGCCCCCCCACCCAGAGGCCCGGCCCCAGTCCCACAGGCTCCAGGCCTGGGCTCCGTGCAGGTGCGGCCAGAGCTCACGGACGGACGGGCCGCGGGGACGCGCGGGCAGAACCCTTCCTGGGTCGGGTCCCCACGGGCCGAAGGTGCTGGACCTGCTGGGACGAGGGTGACCCCACCGCCCCACCTCGCTCAGGGCCTGGCAGCGCCCCCCCGCCCAGGCGCCCTCCCCACTGGGGTCCCTGCTCCTCGGGCTGTGGGGGCAGAGCGAGAAACACCGTTTCCAAACACAGAGCTCCAAAGGGAAACCTGAGAGCGAAGCAACTCCACAGTGAGACTCGGCAGCCGGCAGCAGCACGGACCGCCGCCTGCAGAGGCCCGGAGAGGCCCCGGAGTGGCCCCGGAGTGGGAAGGGTAAGAAAATCCTCTTACTTAATCCAGTCCATCAGCTCCACTGTGTCTGGGTCATAGAATTCCCTCAACTCCGACAGCTCATCCATCATTCCTGGCCAGAACTGAAATCAAAAACAAAACAAAACGAAAACAAAATCCACCCACACCCACGGTGGTCACTACAGTGGAAGGGCAGAGGCAATGCCTCTGCATGGGGGCTGGGCGTCGGGATGGGGCCCCGGGGCTCCGCCCCACAGCCCGTCCCTCTGCTGCGGTGCGTCAGCCGACCTCTGAGAGGTTTCCAGAGCCAGCCTGAGCCAGAGCTAGTTCTGACCAGAGGTGCTGTCGACTGTTTTAAATGAGCTTCTGTTTTCCTCAATAAAAGTGCCGCTGCGAGAATCCAGTGAGACGTGAATCTGGAGCGAGGAGTAGCCACTGTGACAAAGTTCACAGCTCACCAGGAAGCTGTGACTGCGATCCTGCCCCTGCCCCCCATTCGGGGTGCTCCGTGGGAGACAGCAGCGTGGGGGGCTGCAGGCACGCTGCAGAGGCTGGCACAGGCCCTCACCGTCGCCAGGGAGACGGGGGTCACAGAAGGCCCACCGTGCCACGTGCTGTCCTCTCGAGAGGCGCAGACCTCGGCTCACACAGGACCTGATCTGGCCAGGCCATGAAGGGGCAGAGCAGCACCCCAAAACCTGACTCCAAATCCAGCCCCCTTTGGCTACGTGGGGTGGGGATACTGTGATGATAGCCTTTTGTCCTAGGGGTCTGGGCACACGGTCTGACGTTCATGACCGTCACCACAGGTGCGATGGCAGAGAAGAACCCCGAAACAGGGCCGTCCACACGGGCCCCCCCCGAGGACGCGGTCCTGCCGCTGGCGTCGAGCAGACGCAGGCAGACGCCCCCTCGGGGGCCAGGCTCACAGAACACGTCTGGCTGATGCAACGACTGATGAGACGCTCGTGGTGTCACCACGGGACAACTGGCTGGAGAGACCGAAGCGCCTGCTCCAGCCGGACGCTGGGCAGACACCAGGACCCGCCTCCTACACGGGACGCGCCCGTGCACCCCAGGCAGGGAGGGTGTGATGACGCTGAGGCGGCCCCGACCAGTGGGGACCGGCCGGGCTGGGGCAGCCCTGCCCACGCCCTCCCCTGGCCTCATCCTTGGCCGCCTCTCCGGCTTGGCCACGTCCCTCCTGGGGGTGAGGAGGATGGACCGGCGCGGGCGGTGCCTGGAGCTCCAGGCCCCCAGAGAGAAGGGACGGACTCCCACTCGCTCGGTGCCGGCGCCAGGTCCAGTTACCATCGCCCCTGCGGCTCTGACAAAATGGACACCAACTTGTTTATGGGGTGTTCTAATGCTTGTGCTGGAAAACGTTTTTAAATGAGTGAATTCAATGGACATTCCGTATTTTTCTAGTTTGAAAGTCGCTGTTACTAATTCTGATAATGTTACAATCTACTGACATAGTCTGGTGGTAAATCCTTAACCAACGTGAAAGTGTTGACTTAACGAAATGCTGCTTCTAAATGATCAGCAATAGTTTACAGGAAACTTTAACAACCCGAATAAGTGGTCAACCTGGCGGTAAGAATACTATTAAAGTCTCGATTTTAGAATGGAGCTTTTCCCTTTAAAACGGGATTATCCGGAAGAGACACACAGCAAAACCAGCATCGGGGCCAGACACTCTGAAACCGCCACACTGCGCATTGACACTGCAGCCAGGCTTTGGGGGACGAGCTCTAGTCACTGACGTGCGCACCTGCTGACAGCGGCACACAGGCGGCTCCGGGGGCCACGCACGAGCCCCCCCCTTTGTGCTCTCCCGCCCAGGGGCTCGGAGAAGCGGGGCTGCTTGCGCTGCCTCCTGCAGAGGCGTCTCCTCGTCGGGCGCCGAGACAGGCCCGTGCTTCTGCGGGGAGGGGTCTGCCCCGGGCCCGGGGCGCTCTGCAGTGTCTGCCCACGCTTCTGGTCAGCCCAAGTGGAGGGGGTGCTACTGGCCTCTGGTGAGCACAGGCAGGGCGGCGGCCGGGCCCAGGACGCCAAGTGCCCAAGGAGGGCTCTCCCCAGGCGGACGCATGGTGTCCGGCCTCGAGGGGCAGCAGCCCCAGCTGCAGGGCTGGGGCTCCGGCTCGGGACCGGCCCCCGGAGCCTCTCACTCCCCAGGCCAGAGACCCAGGGCTCCGGGCTCGGCTCCTCTCCGCTCCTCTGTCCTTCCCCCTGTCTCACCAACAACAGGCGACTCAGGTCCCCAGACAGTTTAAAAAAACCAGTGAAACTGGAAGAAAGTGGCTGAGGCGTCCAGGAATGGTGGGAAGACAGGGTCGGCAGTGAGGCGAGAGCGGGGTGAGCACGGGGTGAGTGCAGGCTTCCTGTGCGAAGGGCCCCCTGCTCACTCTGTGTGTGTCTGACCCCTAGAGCAGCTTCCCACCGTCTGCAAGGAGCCCCGTCTGTCCACGCTGGGGCAGCTGCAGCCCCAGAGGCAGGGGGACCGCCTCGCGCTGCGGGCCCCAGGGCCCAGGAGTCGGCCCAGGGCTCTGCCTGGGACAGCGAATGGCTTGACGGGCAGGAACGGGACCAAACACAGCTTTCTGAAATATTTACGCTGGGATCATCCAACACAGCGACTACCTAACTTTCTTTCAGCCTAAGCCCTCTGCTGCGCACGAACCCTCACTTGAAAACACAAGCGAGTGAGCCCAAAGCTGCCCCTCTGCGGAGAGTCCCCTCCCCGTGAGCCGTCTCCGAGACCAGGCGCCCGGCACAGGGGGTCTGCAATCCACTGTTCTAATTGCAACAAAATCTGAAGAAAACCATCTAAACTTTAAAAAACACGTAATATTTTTTGAGAGACTGAGAGCTCACGTGGAGAGCCCGGGCCACCGGCCAGGTGACAGCGCGAGTCTGTGGACATCGAGGTCGTGACACAGCGTCCCGGAGTCGCCGACCAGACTGCTGACCCGGGCTCTCAGCCCGGAGCACGGCCACCGCCAGCCCAGCAGCCAGGCCCCCGAGAGCAGGGAGGGTCTCCCTTCCTCCAGGCCTGGGGGACAGGCCCAGCCAGCCCCTGCTGCCGCAGCCGCTGCCACTGGGGCCGCCCTCCCCCCAGGGGACGTACAGGGCAGGGCCACTGCACCCCGAACCTCCTACTCCATTCACCCCCAAACAGGTCTGAAAACGTCTCCATTCTCAGAATTTGCATCAGCTGAAGAGGAGTCAGGACCAAAATTACTCAGAATGATTAAACCGGAGTCGTTTCTGCTATGCGTTCACTCCCTAGGTACTCTCTGGGAAACGGCTCAGTCTTCCCACCAAGGCCGACGGCCCGGGAGTGCAGGCGGCTCTGCACCCTCCGCGGGGCACGCTGTCCCCCCCGCAACGGACGAGGTCGCGGGTCGAGGCAGCCCTCTGCCACGCGGGTTAACGCCAAGGACGAGAAATCAGTCTTACCTTGTAGCACAGCGAGAGCAGGATCAGTATCGGAACAGAATACCGCAGCACGCACATCTACGCGTGAAAGACAATTGTAAGTGTTCTCAACAGCTTTGCTCTGTAAACGTATGCTTTTTTAAAACAACAGAAATTCACCTTTAAGGGGCACGTACTGGAGTCCCTGACATGCGGAGCCGCGAGCCGGGGGCAGGCCCCGGCCACTCCAGAGCCTGCGGCTCCAGCACGCTGGCCCCCCCCCGCCCCACCCCCACCGGTGGCCTCAGAGAACAGGACCACAGAGGTGGTGCGCTCTCCAACCACTGTGTTTAGGATAACACGTCACAGTTACACGTGGTAGCTCTGGGCAGTGGGGTTATTGGCGATGTTTAAATTTTCTTTGTGTGCTTTTCATATTTCCAAATTCTGTATAATGAGCATATCCAACTTATGGTCTGGGAAAAAATGACTAAAAATAAAAAAATTCCTTGTAAAGTCAACATGTGTCAACGATCTATTGTTAGCTCCACTGTCAGTGCCCGCTTGCTCAGACGGACGTGTGGGCACCTGCTGGGTAACACAGAACGGTCGGAGAAACGGAAGTCACAGGAGCAGCACTGACCCTCGCTGGGGTGTACAGGCGGGCAACCCTCAGGAGCGGCCCCCACACTTCCGCGCTGCACAGGCCAGAGGCTGCGAACATGCACAGGTGCGGCGTCCACAGGTACTTCATCCTGCAGGACGACGGGCACAGGTCAGCCGAGATAGCCGCGCTCGTCCGATCTCACCGAAACCGCACGACCCGTCGGCCAAAGCCGAGCAGCCAACCTCACTGCCCTCCCTCCGAGAAGTTCCCCGGAGTGAGGACAGGAAGTTTGCTAACTAGGGAACGCTGGTTACCCGTGAGACTCTGCTCTGGGAGAAGCAGCAGGTAAGAGACACTCATGGCAGGGGTGTCGAACTCATTGTCACGGGGGCCACATCAGCCTCGAGGTCACCTTCAAAGGGCCGAGTGTAACTTTAGGACTGCCTAAATGTAACTACTCCTTAACTGGGGGCCAGGAGCTCGGCACTGCCGCCGGGCAGAAACCAGGTGCCGGGCTGGGTAAAACCAGGTGGAGGGCGGGATTCAGCCCAGGGGCCTTGTGTCTGCCACCTGTGCTCTCCGGAAACTTCTGTCATGAATGAAGATGACATCAGTTCCAATTTCATTTCTAAATGACGCCAGGCACAGAGTGGCCGAATGCACGAACAAACCAGACAGACAAGCCGAAGTTACCTCATCGTGCTCAGGGCCAGGAACCCAAACAGGATGGTGTGCATCAGGTTGTAGGCGGTCTCCGGCCGCAGGCTGACGGGGCAGGCTCCGGCCTCCTGGGGCGGCCGGCCGGGGGTGCCGCTGGGGGAAGCAGCACGCGCACAGGTTAAACCAGGCACAGAACTTCCACTCGGGCGTGTCTTCTTAGAAGAGGGCACAAGAAACTCACGCCTTCGTGTACTTAGAAATGTGTTATTTCTCTAAGATAAAACAAATTACTGATCATTTTAATTTATGAGGCTAAAAGTGTCATAATAGAAGTGCATCGATAAGCAGAATAAATAAAATTTAACAAATTTCATTTTAATTTAAGTAAAAATTTAAAGTGCTTCAATCCTTTAAATAATAAACAAAAATCTTTTTTGAAACCACTTACACTAAGAAATCCTGAAAAATATTTTATAAGTTACCAGTGCTTTTCAAGGTCTCCTTTTTAAGAAAAACTTTTAAAAGACTATTTATTTTTAGACAGAGGGAAAGGGAGAGACAAAGAGAGGGAGAGAAATGTCAATGCATGGTTGCCTCTCATGCGCCCCCTACTGGGGACCTGGCCCGAAACCCAGGCCTGTGCCCTGACTGGGAATCGAACTGGCGACCCTTTAGTCTGCAGGCTGGCGCTCAATCCACTGAGCCACACCAGCCACGGCGCAAGTTTCTACAAATAAGGAAAATTAAAAATGTATCTGTCCACTTGGAATTCAGTTTCTTCATGAACTAATGATCACATTTTAACTGGCCAACACCCCTTAGGTGTTTCTACAGATGACTCCTCAAACACACTTCTGCCGGGGCGATCACACCCGTGGAGTCCAACAATGACTCCAAACCACCACCCGACCCCTGCTCACGCCCCGTTCTGTTTGCGGCGGCTGCTGCTCCGGGGGATTTCCTCGAATCGGGTCAGGACCCTCGTCTTGATGCTGCGTTCGTCACGTCTCTAAACTACCTTCAGTCAAGAGCGGTGCCCCCCCCCTCGCCCCTGTAAAGCTGTTGGCGGGAGGAAGACCGCGCACCACTTGCCCCGTGACCACCCGCACCCTCGGGGTCTGGCGGGGAGGCCAGTGCACTGCTCCGCTGCCGCGCTTCTCACAGCTGTGCGCAGACCCGGGGCGCCCTTCCGGCAGGAACGCCTCCTCGCGTGCTGCGCGCCAAAGCCTCAGGGAGAAGGAAGCGACAGCAGAGGCCACCCCCCCCTTGAAGATCACACGACACTGTGTCAGGGCCCCCGGGTGTCAGTGCCGCTGTGGCCGGAGAAGCCCGGGTGTCTGGAGGCCTCTTCCCCCCGGACTCACTGGAAAGTCACAGTGACGCGCTAAGGCCCCCCACCCACTGGTCTGACTCTGTCCTGGGACGTCGGCCACTGCCGCCCGGGCCCAGATGCCCACGTCGATGGTGGAGCTGCCCTGACGAACACCACCCCCCCCACCCCCCAGTAGGCTGACCGTTTCCCCCCCGTGTTCCCAGCTCTGCAGTTTCCCCCCAACACGGGCAAGCTGGCCGAGGCACAGCACCGGCTTCTGATGCCGCCGCACCTGAGGTTGCGGAAGGCGACGGCTAGCGCGGCCACCGCGGTGACGCCCAGGACGAACAGGTGGGCGTGGAAGAGCAGGGTGTCCGAGAGCCTCCCGAAGGTGTTCAAGGGCAGGAGGCCAAAGGCCTCTTCGCAGAGGTACAGATTCGCGTCGAAGTCTCTGGGGGCAGACGGGAGAGAGGGTTGAGTCCGGCATCGGCAAACCACAACTTTCTCCTTGAAATGAGCCCGAATTAACAGTTGAAGGCACAACGATAACTTAAGTTTTAAAGTCTTTGCTGACTAAATACAAAAAGTAAACCTACATTTTATTTGTTGAAGAAAAAACAGATTTCAAATTATAGTCATACCTTGTCGCTCCGAAGCCAAACTTTGCCTTCAGAAACTTAAACACGTGCTCGTCTGACTTCAGGTTGAGGGTTTTCTGTGGGAGGGGGGAGGACGAGCGGAAGCTGCTGTCAGCGCCCGGCACACGGTGGCCCACAGTCCCCGTGGCACGCAGGCCCCGGGCCCAGCCCGCAGCGGCCGGCCAGCAGCAAGCGCAGCGAGCACGCACGGAGGCCCGCGGGCCAGAGATGCCGGGTGGGGCCTCTGCAGCCGCCCGCCTTCCCAGAACTGCCGACGCTCGGCCGGATGTGAGACCGGGGTGCGCACTGAGTGGTGTGCAGGTGAAGGGTGTGCTCATGGGGGCCTGGAGGGGCCGGTCTCCCCCTTGGCGGTCAGCGCACAGCACGTCCTGCACCCGTGGCCCGTCCCGAGACCCGCCCCCCAGGGTGCAGGGTCCCCTCAGCAGGGCACGTGTCTCTGATGGGAAAGCTGGTGCACTCGTTAACTTAACCCAGTAAAGGTCAGGCCTTGTTGTTTGCTTAGTTCCGCCGCAGTGCAAAAGTGATCTCTGGAAACACCTGTCTAATGCTTTTCAAGTTGAGCTTCTACAAAGTTCAATAACTCAAAAGGTGCGTTCAAGTAGAACACGTTCAAGAGTGACCAGAAAGCAAGGGCCAGAGTCAAGAAAACAGTCCTGTTACTGAAACGATTCAGGACCGAGCCGAAGGTGGACCGGCAACTCTCCCCCGCAGAGAGTGGAGGTCCGTCTGCCCTACGGACCCACCTTGGTGACGTTGTTGAGGAAAATCGTCAAACACAAGACCACGAGTAAGTGTAGCGACAGCTTCCTGAGCCTGCTAAGGAGGTTTCCAGTCTTCAGATCTTTCTAGAAATTAAAGAACTGAGTTTTAATTCTTAAATTTTAACGTAACTTCATAAACACTTCGGATTACTTAAGGATTTAAAACATCAGGTCGTGCAACATATCGGGAAAGTGTGTGGAAAATACGACCTGCCAACTTTCACGTTTACATTATTGTAATATTTGCAACTTGCTAAAACTACACGAATCCTTTAATAAGCAGCTCCACACGATGGGAAAGCATGCCCTTTGCCACCAGAGCCCAGGGCCCGCCACTCACGAGTGCTCAGGGACGCTGACAGAACCGCCCTCGACCCCTCCCCCGGGGGCCACAGGCGCGGCGGCTCCCGGCGAGCACAGGGCAGCCGTGCGCACAGGTGGGCCCCAGCTTTCTCCCAGGCTCAGAACCCTCGCAGGTGTTCACACGTGACAGCATCCGGCGAGTTCACATGCAGTGACGCTTACTGATGACGAGGGGGGAGAGCGTGGCGGGTGCTAATGTTTTTGATCGTCAACTGAAGGCCTGTTTCTAAAAACCCCTGTGAGCTGGCCCGTAGCAGCTTCCACAAAGACCAGTGAGAAAAAGGGTTTGTTCTTCCGGAAGCAGAAAACCAACTGCCTCCTGGACAGCGAAGTGCTCACGAGTTTCTCACGTGCTTAGGGGGGAGATGGCAGGCTCGGTGCTGCTACGAAGGGAAAACCACCGATTCTGAAAGCTCGTGTAAGTGAGTCCTGAAAACTCTACTTAGATGACAAAGTCAAAAGACCGAGTCACTGTGTTCAAACGTGATACACTAGGAAACGTCCCCTTGTTTCCAGAGGCATCTGCGAGGATTTCTGAGAGCTCGAGTTCTCTCTCTGAGAACTTGGTAACCAGGTGCGGGGGCTGGGGCTGGGGCTGGGGCTGGGGCAGGGGCAGGAGCAGGGGCTGGGGCTGGGGCTGGGGCTGGGGCAGGGGCAGGAGCAGGGGCTGGGGCAGGGGCTGGGGCTGGGGCAGGGGCTGGGGCAGGGGCAGGGGCCGGGGCAGGGGCAGGGGCCGGGGCCGGGGCCGGGGCCGGGGCAGGGGCCGGGGCTGGGGCTGGGGCAGGGGCTGGGGCTGGGGCTGGGGCAGGGGCCGGGGCTGGGGCTGGGGCAGGGGCAGAGCACAGCATCTGTCCACCAGCCGGCCTTGAGAATGTCCCTGCTCCGCAGTGCCTGCTCTGCAGTCCAGCAGAGGCAGAGCTGTGAAGGCTTTCTCTGCTATTCCAACTTGGAACCCATAGCACTCAAGCAGGCATCTGGGGTTGATCCCTGAATGGAATGATGACTCCAGTTCTCAGGGAAATAATACAAACAGGAACGCTAACCAGGAACTTCCCAAAAACAAATACCGATACTCCCCTTCCTGCTTTTTAGTGGGAATTTGCTCACGAGTGTCCCTCTGAACACTGCATGAAAATGAAGTCCCACAAACCACACTGTTTACATAAAAACACAGACAAGAAAAGGCCTACCTGAAGTCTTCTTACAATCAATACTGAGAGGTTGAAACTGATAAGCAGCGACCCAAGAATCATGGAGTTGAAAAACTGAAGGGCGCAGACCAGGAGCAAAGCTGCGACCTGAATCGTGTACAGCCACGTCGCCTGCAACAGCCAGAGAGTCCGGTGAGGCCGTCCGTCCAGAAACAGCAACCCGCCTCAGTCCCAGATGTACAGAAAACACAGCCGCGCCAGAAACACTAGCTAAAGGGGAGGAAGCTAAATCATCGGCTTATGTTTACTTAACGGTTAACTGCATAACACTTGACACTTTGTAACCTTAACTGACGAGGAAACAAACTGGACACTATGCAGCGAGGCGGCAAACAATGAAACAATGCCGCAGATACACTCTGGAAACGAGCAAGGAAACAAAGTGGACACTATGCAGCAGAGGCGGCAAACAATGAAACAATGCCGCAGATACACTCTGGAAATGAGCAAGGAAACAAAGTGGACACTATGCAGCAGAGGCGGCAAACAATGAAACAATGCCGCAGATACACTCCGGAAACGAGCAAGGCAGTTGCACCTCCCATCTTCTTCCCAGTTCTTTCACAGTCACGGCTGACAGCCAACCGTCAGTATCTTACTGTATTCTATCGCTTCCCACTTCCCCGCTGTGGGACCACGGCATTCAACGTTTCCCTTTGTCTGTGTGTGTGTTTACCTCCCCCAGGGACTGAAAACCTCATGGGAGTGGGTGCAGGCACAGAGCGGCACCAGGGGCACACGGATCCCGGCAGAAACCAACTGTGGGGACTGGCTCGCAGGGAAGACAGGGATGCTCACACCTGCCTCAGTGCCTGGGAGCCGGCAGGAGGACCACCCAGGGTCCCGTGCAGAGCTGCACTGGAGAAGTGCTCCCCTCTGGTGGGAGAAAAGACAGAAAAAAGCAAACCCCACCCATCTGGACCAAAGAAAATGCCTCACACACAAAAAAAAATAATAAAGAGCTGATAGCTCTGTCTTCTCTTTCCAATTAGGCCACTTCCTATTCACATTGGCTCACGAAAAGTTCACTGTGTCCTGCAGCGAATCAGGGTTCCCCCTGCTTTGTTCTGTGACCTCGCAGGACACAGACCTGCGTCAAGGACTTAAGCCTCAGGCCTGTCACGCACACGAGGACACAAACGAGGGCCGCGGTTCCGTGTGCCACAGGCGAGGTCCCTGTGGCAAGTCAACAGAGACGCACATGCCAGCTGGTTAAATGTTACTATGAAAATTTTATGAAGTACTGCAGAAGAGCTGTCACATACCCACGGATTTCCTTGGAAAAAAGTCAATACACAGCCACACACTTTAAAAGAGCTATCATGTAAATTAAAACTTACGTCCTCTTTGAAAAGGGCAGTTGACCTGGATATTTATGCTCCAAATAAATGTACCAGAGGGGCCCAAAGATCTCCAGAACTCATCTATGAAAAACTGTGTGTTATGCTCCCATGCTCAAACTTCAGCCCCCTTCCCAGTCCTCTCCACCTGAGGCTCGTGAGTGCTTCTGCCGGTTTTTGTTTCCCTTCGGGGAAGTTTTCCATCCAGGGACACAAAACTCAGTTGCTCGGGGCGAGATCAGGTGAATAAGGAGGGTGGGGCACAGGGCTGGGGTGGGGGGAGGCGGTGGAGAGGGGTGGGAGTCACGCTGTTTTTGGTCAAAAACTGCTGACCACTGGGCGTGGTGTGGGCAGGTGCACTCGTCAATCACCCGTCATGAAATGGGCAGACGTGTTGAAAGAGTCTCCAAAAAGATCACCGAGGCCGAGCGCAGCCTCCCACAACAACGCCAGCGGGTGTGCTGATACAGGTGTGTACAGGTGTGTGCCCAGAACACTCACCCAGCGGGGGAAGCCTGGACTACAGGGGCCTGCCCCCCAGAAGATAATTCCGGTTTCTCTCTGAGATCTCCCCTTGTACCACTTAACGTACAATACGCAGAAGACAAGCTAAGACAGTCCGGTGCGGCTGGGAGAATCGCCCTCTCCAAACACCACATTCCCGTGAGCTGCAAGCAGCGCCCCCCTCAGGGTAACACCCACATGCCACGCTCCTTCCAAGGCAGCAGTGGCCGGCGGCCGGCGGTGCTCACCTTCAGGGCCGGCAGCATGTCCAGGGAGTCCAGGGCGAAGAGCCCCAGGGCCTGCAGCAGCATCGTGAACTGATTGAACTGCCACGTCAGGCTGAAGACGAAGGTCGACACGAAAATGGCGAGAAGGGCCAGCCTCTGGAGACAGAGAGCCCCGTGTGAGTCACGAGTCGCCGGTGAAGGAAAGCCTCACAGACAAGTTTTCAAGGGCAGTCAGACCTCTGTCACCACGCGGAAGACCCTACGCCGCTGCTCTGAGCACTGCTGCACTAGTTACTCGAGCTCTAAAGGCCCCGAGAGACGCCTGGCGTGCAAACACTCCCACGTGGGGCGCGAGCCCCGAGCTGGCACGGAGGCGATGATGCATCACATCACATCTCGAGAGACGGGGCTTCAGAATTCTAGCGGTTTTGTAGAAACTGTGGTTTTGCTACAACCACTTAAGGGCAGATTATGTATTTCAACCAAAAAAAAGAAACCATTTTCTTTGCAAAGGAGGAAATGGCTCAGAAACAGATTTCATTTCACTTAAAACACTGGCCATGCACTGAGGCCCATTCCCAGACTCCGGGACAGGGTGCAGGTCACCACTTCTGAAGCTCGGACGCAACTAGAGATCGAAAATGCAGGACCTTTGTCCTGGCCGGTCGGCTCAGTGGTTGAGCACCGGCCTGCAAACCAAAGGGTCGCCGGTTCAGTTCCCAGTCAGGGCACATGCCTGGGATGCAGGCCAGGCCCCCAGTAGGGGGTGTGTGAGAGGCAACCACACGTGGATGTTTCTCTCCCTCTTTCTCCCGCCCTCCCCCTCTCCTGAAAATAAACAAATACAATTAAAAGAAAAAAGGCAGGACACTTCACGACAGCTCACCTCAGATACGGGCCGCAGGTTGGGCCTCAGGAAGTAGGTGAGAGCCGCCACCTGGACGGCGAGGAAGGGCAGCGCCCAGTTCTCCCGCAGCGGGACGGTGAACTCCACCCGGGTCGTGTCGACTCTGCAGGGAAGACACAGTGCCCACCGCTGCCCTCGCACGGGCCACACCCAGCCATCCTGCAGCGGCGGCTACGCTGCATTACGGGCACTTAGGTTCCACTTGCTGGCTCTCGGTCATTGTAATCGGCCCTGAGACCCAGGTCGCCCATCTGCACACGCGTGTTCAGGTGGGGGCTGCGGCAGTGAACAGACGTGCCCACGCCGACGGCCTGGCACCACGCCCCCCACGCCACCGGCGCCCGTGCCCTCCCCTGCGTCAGACTGGAGTCCCGCCTGGCCCTCGAGGACCGGTGCGCAAGCTCCCTGCCTCCTCGTGTGCCCCTGAAGGGCAAGGGCAGGCTGGTGTCCGTCTCTGCACGCCTGGTGCTAGGAACCACCCTGCACGTAGTAGGCGCTCAGTAAACATCCTGCATTTACTCTTCAGGCAGACAATAAACTTGACTTTAACTGGCTCTTGCAGGAGTGATACAGTAAGCTCAGACACCAAGGCAGCGCGACCCATTGGCCCCTCGGGCTGTGAGTCTGAGTTCTGCCCGACACTGAGCTGTGAGCGTGTCGGCGTGAACACATGTGCCTCGACCTCTCTCTCTGTGCATTCTCACGTATGCTCACACACCCGTAAACAACAACGCACACGCAAAGCATGTTGCTGAGTGCTGGGCATATAGTTATTACTTAGTAAAATTAAATAAAAAGTAATCTGTCCAGGGCTGTAAAACAAACGGCAGAACTTGGGTGTGAGTCGGGGAAAGTCTCCCGTCGGCACTGGTGCTGCCACTGTCGGTCAGGCAGTTCGCAGCACACGTTCGATGTCTAAGGAGTGCGTCTCACAGCGCTGCGGCGCGCAGAAGCAGACGATCGGAGGGCGGAAAAGCCCCTCGCGTCTGCGCAGAGCTCTCCGCCTCGCTCGCTGTGAGCGGCGCGCAGCCCTCTGCAGGCCGTGAGGGACAGCGGCAGAGGGGCACCGAGCACGGCTCTCCCGGCTCGCAGGCCGGCGCCCCGCCCCTCCGCCGGGGGCGCGCACGCACGCAGGACGTCCTGCCTCACTGACCGACGCCGCAAGCGCGCGCACGCAGGATGTCCTGCCTCACTGACCGAGACCGGGGGTGCGCACGCAGGACGTGCTCTCACTGACCGAGGCTGGGGGTGCGCGCACGCAGGACGTCCTGCCTCACTGACCGAGGCTGGGGGTGCGCACACGCAGGACGTCCTGCCTCACTGACCGAGGCCGCGGGCGCGCGCACGCAGGACGTCCTGCCTCACTAACCGAGGCGCGCAGACGCCACGCGGCAGAGGCTTCCACGTCGACGGGAAACAAAGAGCCGCCCGTTCGCACACGTTCCCGGGGAGAGAGTCACGCCGGCCCCCGCTCACCTGTTGGTGACGTACCAGCACGCGGCCAGCAGCCCCGCCAGCCACGTGCCGCTGAGGAGCCAGCTGGTCACGTAGAGGGCTGCGACGTAGACCGCCTGGAGCCCGAACAAGGTGTAGATGTAAAAATAGACCGGCTCCAGGTATTTCTGCGGAGGGACGACAACACGCGCCCGTCAGGGAAGCCCCAGCCCTGTCCTCGCCGTTAAACCGCGACAGCGGACCCGCGCTGCCCGGGGGCTGGGCGCCGACCCCACGCGCTGGCGCGCACAGCGCACGCGAAGGCCGCCTGCACGACCCACCTGCACGGGCAGGGCGCGGTACAGAGCGCTGAGGAGAACCTCCTGGTAAATGTTCATTCGCTGCAGGAGGTTGATTGTCCTCATGGATTCGGTTTTGTTGTCGTACATCAGGCCGTGAAAACCTAAGGTGGATATTTGAAAAGTCAGGGAAAATAGTTACAATTAAAATTCTTCCCTGATTCACAAGCATTCGTGGGCTCTTGGGAGTGGACCCCTGCGGCAGCCTCCACGCCCGGCCAGACCCTGAGTCCCGGCCCCTAGCCCGCCCCCACCAGCGGGATGGCCGGGCAGCCGGAACACAGAAGGGCACCGGGGGCTGCGGCGAAAGCTGGAGAGTGGGAGACTCTGTCTGGTAGAGGAACTGGTGTTTTCAGCAAAAAACAGTGAGAACAAATGGGGAGGAATCCACGGATTAAAAGGCACCAAGAGAGACGGGGCAGCGACGGTGGCGTGTGGCCTGGGTCTGGGCCTGGAAACCCACCGACACCCACGGCAGGCTTCCTCCCACCCCCCACCCCCCGTCCGTGTGAAAGTTCACGAAAGCGTGACCCTCCCAGGCGACACCTGGCCTGACAGTGGCCTTAGAAGGGTGACAGGCTCTCGGCCCCGCTGCAGCCGCCCAGCCCAGCACCCCCGCGGCTCCGCTCGGGGGCCTGGTGCGTCTCTGTCTTGGAGGCTGACTGACGACCCTGCTGCCTGAACACGCCATCTCTTCTCTTTTTTTTTGCAGGGGCCGTGGACGCTGCGTGTGAGGCAGGAGCCGGTGTTGGGCCCAGGCCACCTTCCCAGCATCCCGTGCCCCACCCCGCCTGAGGCCGAGGCCCAGTGGGTGGGAGCCCGGGCAGCGGGCGTGTGAGGACGGACGGGAACCCGCGGCCCAGACGCAGGCAGACACGGTCTCCACGCCCGCCCACTGCTGACTCCTGGCCGACCGCCAGGCTCTGCCTCGCCCTGCAGGAAGCTCCCCTCGGGCCGCCTCCCTGGGACCTGCCTCCCTGGGACCAACCACACCTCAGGCCACCGGACAGTTGGGGAGGAAGGGCTTTCTCCGGCACAGAGCTCCCGCTGACAGACACAGGAGGAGGGACGGGACCAGACTGTCCCTCTGTGACCCTGCTGAGACGCTGGGTCTGGGCGATACTCCTGAAAGGGCTGGTGGGTCATTCGCCTTATCACGGGGAAAGCTGCCTGTCTACCCAGGAATGCCCTGACAGGCTTTTAGGGCATGGAAAGGAAGCTGACGAGAATCTCGGGTCTCACCGTGACCCACGGGAGCGCAGCAGGGCACCCAGGGGACCCGAGTCACCATCAGGGCGGGCGCACCAGCACGTGTGGCCTGGGCCCCTCGGGGCTCCCTCTGGCCCTGAGCGCTGAGAAGCAGCGACAATGGCAACTGCGACACGAAGGGATGGACAGGGCCCCAGGGACCACTGGGACTTTCGTGTGCTGTCCAAATGCCCCTTCCCGACACTGCTCCTCCCCGTACAGAGGCTCCTCCCCCTGCAGAGAGGCCTCGGAGAGGGTCTGCGGAGAGTCAGCTGCAGCACCGAGAAATGGCTAGCAGGCTGAGTCTGGGGCGGAGCAGAGCTGAGAGGCGAGGTCCCAGAGCAAACACCCCCCCACAGGCGGACCACTGCCCCCCCCCGATGGAGAGCAACAGGCGCCCCCTGCACCAGTACCTTGCAGGAGGCTGGGCGCCTGCAACATCTGCTTGTAGTAGGAGTAGTACAGCCCACACTCGGTCCGGAAGGAGATCTCCCGCTCCACCTCCTGAAACGAAGGGAGGCCATGCGTCTGCAGCCCTCCTGGGCTCCAGCATCCACAGTCACTATGGAAACAGGCCCAGGGCTACAACTTAAAAGGAAAACAAACTGAAAATGCAGCCTCAGGAAATCTTGGCAAATGAAAACAGCAGAAGGCTGGTTGCTGCTGAAGCCGGGTATGCATTACAGGGAAGGGTTTATTATACTATCCTCTCTGCTGGTGTGGACGCTTAAAATTTTCCGTAACAAAGCATTTAAAAAAACAGAGGCAACTAGTTCCATTTAGTTGGTGTCTCAGAGTTAACATTTTTCTTGTATTTCACACAAATTACAACTTTAAAAACACACTGCCATTCTTACATAATATCGGTGAGAGACAAAACAGGAACAGCATTAAAAGTCCCCCCAAGAGCCTTGCATGTTCCTCTCCTCCTCCCCCGCTCTGCAATCAGTAAGCATGTCCTCAGGTGGGGATAAAAAAAAACAAATGAAAAGAACTGTAATTGCATCAGACACCTGCTGACAGTATCACACAAGAGGAACACTTTCCTTTGTGTTATAGGAGTACATGGCACTCTTGGTGAAATGGGGCATGCCTCTCACACATGGGCTGACATTCATGTATGAAAACGGACACAAGAAATTTAAACTGCTTCTACATAACAAGTCAGTTTTAGATGAACTAAAATGCAAAGCCATAGCTATTAGTCAATTTGGTTGTAAGATGCTTTTCATAAAATTTAAACCGTTAATGTAACATATGCAGGCAACTCGTAATGAGGTCGGAGAAGTTTCTGGAATGATTGCATTAATACTCTTAGATCCTGTATTTCATATATGTGCAGATATATATTCTCACATATGTGAGAACATGACATAAGTGAGCAGAGAACTGTACTCTGTGTCGTTACAGATTCCTCCACACCAGCGTTCAGACCTCCAGCCCAGAATCTGCAGCGCGCTGCCTGGACTGTGTCTCACCTCCGGCTCCCTGCTCCAGCTGGCCCCACCCACAAACCCACCTGCCCGGGGAAGGGGAAGCCTGCCTGTGCCACAGGCGAACCTCTGTCGGCACATCTGCATTTCCCTGCTGCCAACTACATTTCAAATAGTAGTAAGTACCTCATTAAAGGAGCCACTCATGCTGTTTACCTGGAAATCATTTATTTCTTCTACCTTTAAATATTTCTCCTATTCTTTAAAAAAAGTTGTATAAATCAGTTCATGAATAACACATGGAAGAAATACTCAAGTATTTAAGAGTATAGATATCCAATCACTGGCCTTGAAAAACAAACTATCATGTTCTATCTTTGTTAACTCTAGAAAAAAAATGGGAAAGTGGGCAGGGCAGCAAACCTTATACAATGAGCTTCCTTTCATGGAAAATAAATGTATCCTGGAAAGATCAAACATTAAACAGAAGACTCAGTCAGGTTCTGAGATTTCATTCATTAGCACAAGTGCTTTCTAAAAAGGACAACATGAAATGGTGTAGCTTTTTCAGCTGTTACATTTGCTCCGGATTTGAGATGTCACCTTTCACAGCAGCAAAGGCAACACTTCTTAGCAGCCACATTACTTCATCTACCTTTATTTTAACCTCTGAGAAAACCGGCTCTATTCCTTTTGCTAACATAAAACTAAACTAGTATCACTCCCTTCTAGACGTTAACTGAACCACTATTAGCTTTCTTCCACGCAAATAAAAAGAAAACATTCAGTTTAATTACATTCTTTTTCTTCTCTCCAGCTGCCTTAAAAAAATTTTTTTAATCCTCACCCAAGGACACTTTTTTACTGCTTTGAGGCATGTGCCCTGACCGGGAATTGAACCTGCAACCTTTAGGTTATGGGATGACACTCCAACGAACTGAGCCACACCGGTCTCTCCAGCTGCCTTAATGTGCTCACACTTCACTGTCTCCCCTGGGACATTCTGACATGGAACCTACGCCCGCCAATCAGACGAGAGAGCCGCAGCACGGTCCTCACCTGCGGCTTCTTCCCCAACGCGGTCTAAGAGTAAAAGGCTGACTTCGTAAGGGGGGTGGGCAAACCCTGCTCGAAGCACTGACGGCAGAAAGCTTCCGTGGCCCCCCTCCTCATTAGCACAGCGGAACGTGCACAGAGCAGAGGGCCGTAATGAGCCAAGACGCACCCGCACGTGATGAATCGGAGCTCCTGGCACCAGCTGCACGGAGCCAACCGCTACACTTCATCAGACAGACATCTGCAAGTTCTACATCTGCTTCCTGCTAAGAGAACATCTGCTTCCCCCGCTCCGGCACTTCCCCAGTTTCACGGCGATTTATACTCCGCCCGGTGGGCTGCGCGGGGGCCGCGCACAGCAGCAGGCACTGCTTCGAACGCTGCGGGACGAGCACGTGCTTCCGACCGCGTCTGCACGGCTCCACAGGAGGGCTGCGGGGAGAAAGCGCGCATCTCCCCCAAAGGTGGAGACAGGAGGGCGTGGGGAGACAAAGGAACAGCGCCGCTCAGAAACTGTGCAGCCAAGGCCGCTCTGCAGCCGTGTGTCCGGGAACGTAGCACAGGCACCAGAAGGGAAAAGCGCCAGGAAGGAAAACGACGGCTTGGAGTGAACCGTCTGCACCTTGGGCAACACAGAGGGGACAAGCCTTTTCAAAGGACACCAAGTTCGCAAAGGAAACGTATCATTAGTCTCTAAAATTCTCCCGTAGGTAACTTTTGTTCATAGAATCTGCCCCCTAAATCGAGAGGCTGCAGCTACTGGGGAAGCCCCGGGAAGACTGACCTTGCAAGCACAACCCGTTTCCAAATCAGGGTCACATATCATCTCACCGGGAAACGGCGGCTCCCCAGGTCTGTGCCCTCAGCAAAGAGCCACGCACCTGCATGTCTGCTGTCTGGTTGAGTTCACACCCCTCTGTCCGAGGGAACGGTTCCTGCCCTCGAGGGGACATGCCGTAGCGAGAGAGTGGCCGGGCTCTGCAGTGCTGGGGCCACGGTAGACGTGACTGGGCTCCCACAGGGCGCCCACCAGTCCCGGGCCCGCTGTGGCTGCCACCTGCGGACAGACCCTGTATATTCCAAGGACTCCTTGCCTTGCAAGATCGTCCAGAGGGAAGACGTGCAGCCTCTGTGGCATCAAGTGCACAGCAGAGTGACAGGGGAAAGGGTCAGCACGAGGAAAAACAGACTAAAGAAAGCGGAGTGACCTGAGTGCTTTGAGCTCCTTGAGAACCACCCTTCCTTATCACTGAACACCTACTTGCTGGGAAAAAAGTTGTAAGAATGTAGTCCTTGAGCCCAAGGGTTTATTTTTCAACGAGAAAGAATGATGCATTTTTAAAAAAGGAAGACGACCTCAAGGAAAGAGCAGCATCAAGCCCTGGCTGGCGTAGCTCAGTGGACTGAGCGCGGGCTGCAAACCAAAGTGTCGCAGGTTCAATTCCCAGTCAGGGTACATGCCTGGGTTGCAGGCCACGGCCCCCAGCAGCCGCACACTGATGTTTCTTTCTTTCTCCCTCCCTTCCCTCTCTAAAAATAAATTTTAAAATCTTTTAAAACATTTTTTTAAATTTTTTTAAAAAGAAAGAGCGACCAGCATCAGCTGGGGAGAATAAAGAGACTCTGCCCGAACCGTCCCACTGGCCTCCCCGCGGGACTCAGTGCTCCTGGCTGGGCTCTGCGTCCTCCTTGGACTCGGCAACACCACCCCCCCGGCCCCCCAGCCCACAGACGCACTCTGAGCAGCCGGCAACAAGCACGCTTCTGCCGGGGGTGCGGCAGGGAACACAGAGACACACACCTCTGTCCTCCAGGAGTTCCCAGTCCACAGCAAACAAGTAAAACGCAGCAAGTGGAGCGGAGACTGCGAGAGGGAGGGAGGGGGCAGGGCAGGCCTCGCGGAGGAAGGACAACTGAACAGAGGCCTGGGGAGGAGCGGGGTGGGCGTGTGAGAAGAAGCTCCTGGCTGGACAGACGGCCCTCCACCCCGCCCTGAGGGACAGGGAGGAAGGGGGGCAGCCGGCACTCGGGGAGGCTGCTGCGCCCCTTGAGCTTCCTGCATGTGTCGCTTCCCTGTGACGCTCGCTCGCTCTCCCCGCCCTGCCCGGCTCACCCCTGCCCCTTCGGGCCTCAGGGACGTCATGTCACCCAGGACACCCCCAGCCCCAACCCTCCCACCGGACCCCACGGCACTCCACGTCAGCCCAGCACAGCGCTGGCACGATGCACGTGGGGCCGCTGCGGGCCTGCGTCCCGCTCCAGGGCGACCGCTTGAAGATGGGGGCTGTCCCGCCGGTGGCGCTGCCCCCACTGACAACGGTGTCTGCTGGCTCATGGCAGGTGCCGAGCGTATACTGACCAGGTTCAAGGCTGCCGGCAAATTCCAAAGGCTTTGTTACCCCTTCCAGGCGCCCAGTGCTTAAACCCAGGTTTCCCACAGACCTGGCGCTGAACAGAGCAGGCAGCAGCAGGATGGAGGCAACGGGAGAAACATCGAGGGTGCTCGGGCGTCTGGACGATGGGGTGCGTTCAGCTGAGGCTGCTGCTACCAAGGCCAGGCCCGAGCCTCAGACCAGAGAACTACACCAGCATTTTAGAGTCGAGTCACCCGGCCCCTCCAGCCCGTCTCCTGATCACGCGGTCACCAGCGCCCGCCTTCAGCCGCGCCCCCCCACAGGGGCGTCTGAGCCTCGACTCAGAACACTCGTGTTAGTGAGCGAGCATTGACCTGCCTCGTTCTGGGGACTCTCTTTATGAGCGCTCCCTTTTAAAGAGACAAAGGTGAGTGAAATTTTTCTTGACAACGAAAACTAGCAATGGTCACCGAAGGACAAGAGCTGTGACTCCCTGCTGTCACGGTCGCTGGTGCAAAGGTGTGTCGACACGGGCCGCACCACCAGCTGCTGGAAACCAGTCAGACACATCGAATCTGTCATTCCAACAAACCAAAGCTCCAAGCATTTTGGAAAACTCTCTGTGGGAAGTGCCTTTCGATTCCTCATTGACGTCTCTGAATACTCTCAGAGGCCATAAATCTTTGACTTTGGGAGGTGGGTTTCATCTCTTTCATCTCTTCAACTAGCCATCAGTAGCCGCAGCAGTGAGTAAGGTCAAAGATCATGACACTCTGGATCGAAACAAGGCATGTTTGGTGCAAAAACACGGCCAACAAGTAACTTTCCTTGCAAACAGACTTGCTGTGAAAACAGCGTCTAATGAAGAAAGGATGTCTAGACATGCTTGAAAAGAACGCAGAAAGACAACAGGAGGCTGGTATATAAAACACCGCAGGCCCTCCTCACAGCGCAAGGAGTGAGACTTGGACGCACCGCCGCCCGCGGCGGGGAAGGTGCGGCTCCGAGCAGCACCTTCTGAGCTGCTCTCCTTCTGTTTCTTTAAACTGTGCCCGTAAGAGGAACCCTTCCCGTGACCCTATCTGCACGCACACACAGAAGTGAGAACCCGCCGTGAGAGCCCTGGACCCACCAGGAGGCCTCGCCCCCAGCCCTGAGGGCGCCGGTTGCGCAATCCTGGCTGACAGACCCTCATCCTGCGCCACCGCTGCGTCACCGGTGACGAAACTCACTTGACTGTAAACATTCTGACCTCGTGTCACCCTCACAAACACAAGCCTTTTTATGCCACAGCCAAACTTTCAGAGACTGGCTTCTTTGTAGGAAGCCGCATGGCAGGGGCCCTCCCTGGGCACACGGAGGAGCCCAGGGCGCAGAAAGCTCGTACCTTAATGTTGGAAAACCACAGGTCGTTTTCGTGTAGAGTGGCCAGGTAGACGGAGGTCAGCACTCCAGCACAGAGGGCTACAGCTCCACCGGCTGTGAGTGACAGAACCTGCCACAGTCTTCTCCCGGTACAACCTCCTGGAAAAGCCAGACAGAGCACTAAGTCAGTGGAGAATGGAACCGTCCTGCCTCTGACCACCACGTCTGCTGCGTCCCGGCTGCCCATCACTGGGGAGCCACGCCCCACCCCGCCCCACCCCGCCCCGCCCGCCCACAGCAGCAGGCCAGGGCTCCTCCTGCAACCTCCAGCCAGCACCCACCCGCTCGCTGCAGCCTCTCCCACTGGGTCTAACCACGCTCACCCATCCTGCCCACTGGAACGTGGGCTTTCTGAGGAGCTGTCTTCCCCACCCGAACACCCAGGGCCTGGTTTGGGTACAGTTCAGTGACCATTGTGTGGCCACTAAGTTTGTGAGACAGAGGAACAGTGGGTTCCGTGTCGAGGAGATAAAGTCTGCCTACAACTTGTGACCCAGTTACCATTTGACCAATAACTCTAAATCCCACCGAAAAGAGTAAAGGAGGAAAATTCAGGAATTTGCCTGAAAATAAAGGATAAAACATGTCTGACTCGTGTTTCAATATGTTAGTGAAACAAGATCCCTGCCCCCGGGCCAGGTGGCCAGTGTGGCCAGCAGAGGCCAGGCAAGGGGACCGTGGCTCCAGACGGTCGCCAGCCCCGAGCAAGACAGCGAGACCCCAGGCCCTCCTCCGAGCTGCGCCGGGGCTCCTGCCACCAGGGCGGCTGAGCCCTGTCTCCGTGCTGCAAGCAGATCACTCGTCAGATGGAAGTGTCGGGGCATCAGCCCACATTTCCCCGAGGTTAGGTCTCACTGCATTTTTATCCTGTGGGAGGGACAGTTCGCGCGCAGAAATGAGAGCAGTCCCGAGTGCCGCCTTGTCGCCTACCGGAGGGCACCTCACGTTCCAGCGTCACACTCTCCTGCTGGGCGGCGCCATCCTCAGACCCTTCCGAGGCTTTGGCTCCTTTTCTCTGCCTGATGGACATCATGGTGTTGAAGGCTCTGGCGCAGGGTTCTCCCCACGGCTCCTGCAGGCAGCGCAGAGGAAATGCCACCCACGGGCCCAGGACCATCCGCTGCCCCAGCCCCAGCGCACCCCAGGCCCAGGCGACCTTCCTTGGCCCTTTCCCGCCTTCCCTTCACATCTCCGCCAGCCGGCAACTCTGCACTCAACACGAGAACGTGTGGATGAGGTGTTTCTGAGGGACGCCCCCGGGGCGCCAGCAGCCCCTGAACCTCGTCGCTGCCTGAGCCCCCTGCCACCGTGCAGTGTCACCTGACTGTGCCCTGCATGTTATTCCCAGCTGCATGCCACCAAGGGGTCCCGAAAGCTTGTCCCGGCCTGGTCGTGAAGACCTGAACGGCGGGGTGTTCCCTGCGTGGATTTCAACACCTGTGCTCCCTGCCCGGCCCGAGAGGAGAGCGGTGCCAGCCGTGGAGCTTTGGGCGGGTTATGACTCCCTAAAGGCAAACAGCTTGCTCCGTGGAAAAGAACCGATCCATGTTATGCCACTCATTCACTCGCTCGTTCATTCGTCCATTCGCTCATTCATTCGTCCATTCGCTCATTAATTCATCCCTCCGTCGGTTCGTTCACTCCTTCGTCCACTCGCTCATTCACGCCCTCGTTCACACAACGCCACGCGCCCCACGCGCACGCGGGACGAACCCCGGAAGCGCAGGCTCGGAGCCGCGGGTCCCCTTACTGCAGGCGCACAGGTTGTCGAAGCCCCACAGCGGCCACACTCGGAGCGCCACGACAGCGGACACACACTAGATCCACGCGGGGCCGGCGCTGTGACAGCCGCGCCGACCGCGACACTGGCCTCCCGTCCCCGAGAAGTCCCGGCGCGCAGCGCGCAAGGGGACGGAGCAGCGCCGCATCACTACCGAGCAGCACGGCCGGGTCGCCAGAGCACACACCTGTGCTCCGCGGTCCAAGCGCCGCTCCGGGCGCGGCAGGACCGGTGGGCGGGGCGCTGAGGGCCGAGGCCCGAGGACAACCCGGACCCGTGGAGCCTCGCGCACCGCCCGGAAATGGGGCCTGGGGACGTCCGCGGCCCGCCGGGGGCGCGCCGGAGAGGCCGGGCCACTGCGACCGCTCCCATAGGTTCCGGGAGCCGTCCGTCAGCCCGGCCCCGCCCCTCACGGCGCTCTATCCCGCCCCGCGCCGTGCAGGCCGGAAGGAAGCGGCACATTTCCGGTCGTCGCCAGTGCAGCACCGGGAGGAAAGGAAGCAACTCGCTTCCGGTCACCATTGCGGCGGGAGGGAACGCTGCTCCGGGAGGAGAGAGCCGCAGGATGTCCTGCGGCCCGCGTCCCCGTCCCCCAGCCGGCGGGTGCGGAAGGCGCGGCCCGGGGGTGAGGGGTGGGGGGATCGAGCAAAAAGGAAAAAGGAGTCGTGGATGTGGACAACCGTGTGTTGATTGCGGGACGGGGGAGAAGGAGGATATAAGGGGGTTAAATGGTTAACGGAAAAAAAGTTTAAAAAAAGAAGTGAATGCAGCCTCGGATCTGACCCACGACCAGTTACACCTTTTCTCAGCCTTAACTAGGAGTTTCTCACCCCTTTGTGGCGGGAAACGCGGGGTGCAGACAGGACTGCAGATACAAACACAGGCGCGAGATGTGACAGATGTGCCTAGTTCAGGAGAGCCCATTGTCTCTAAGACAGGGACGCGAGCAGGCGTGAAACGAGTAGGAAAAGCAAGAATCTGCAGATGTGCACGGTAGTGACAACAGCCTTTAATGATGCTATCAGATCCCAACAGAAGCCTGGAAAGTGAGTAACTTTTATTTCGTTGAGGGTCTCTGAAGGTCACAATTCCTCTTGTGAACACATTTAAGATAGCATACTTTATTAATATAAATTAAAAACATTCTGATGCCAATGGCAATGACATAAACAGCTTTAAGTATTATTTTTCCTTTTAATAGAGGATAACAAAATTAGAAAGATAAAATAGTCTGAGCTCATTACTCTCTGATCTGTGTAAATAAAACCCTTTTTAGAATGTCCTTTTAAACAAAGGCCCCACGTACCTCGTATCACTCCAAGTATCCCTCTTACATCCAGTTTTGCAAACTGTTACCTTCCGGCTCCTTTAATGCCTGCATTAAGTTATGAGTAAAAAGACACCAACATTCAGAGATTTCCTCATATAATGCTAAGGGTTTACATGAGGTGTCTAAATTAAGATCTAGAATAGTGTATGTAAGAAAAATTATTTAAACCATGATTACTATTACTTTTTAAAAAATCAGATTAAATATCCAAATATGCCACAATCTTACCAATACTTTGCGGTTTGCATGAGAACACTAGGCACAGTGCATGTACTGATGGACCCCCGCCCCGGAAAAGCAAGGCCCGCCCCACCCCCACCCCTCCCAGCGTGGGAGGCACACCGGGTCTCACTGGCCGAGCCAAAACCTGGAAATGGTTCATGCATCAGACACTTGGATTCTGAGGCACAAACCCAGACATGCAACCTAATAAAGTCTACTATATAGCACTAATTAAAAACAGACTTCTCCAGGAACTTCTGGGGCCAAAAGTGTTCGTTTTACACTGTGCTGCGTGTGGGACGAGGTTTCTGCGGGAGAACACTGACTTTTTCTGATGCTGCCAATGTTACCAACACTCACCAAAGCCACCTGCAGCCTCACCCAACCCAGGGACATTGCTTGACTCACACCAGCCATTCACCATGAAAGGTGCATCAGAGACGCTTTGCTTTATATCCTGTATTATTTGTCACCCAAGGGGGATGGACTGGCCACCTGGCCACCTGTACCACAGTTAGACGTGTGGGTGTGTGACCACACTGCACTTGCGCCCGCAGCGCTGAACCAGCGGGGCAAGGACCATGCCGTTGAAACTGCACGGTAGTTGGGGAGGTGGGCAGAGAACAAGACGAGACTGTTTACAGCATCAGTTATTACTTAATTGTGCATTGCTATTCCAAACAAATCATGTGTGGCTTTAAATAGCAAAGATGATGACATGGTGAGTTATGAGTTATGGGTGGAGTCTGTGGGATACCGGGAACACTGTGTAACCATTACAAAGAAGGACTAAAGGATATGATTTAGCCCTGAAACGGTGCTATGAAGCTTTTTTCTTTCCGGGAGCTTACATTACAAAAGCAAACTGGTGAAGTGAGTTTTAATGATTTTACTTAACTCCAAATATCATTTCATCACGGAGCCAAGGTAAAACGCTACTGAGACACCTCCCGCTTTTCTGTGCGGAGTCTGAGACCACTCGCACTGCACACGTGCACGCACCAGTCATCCCTCGGTGCTCTACAGCCACGGTGGCTGGCGCCACCGGACCACCCCCCCGTCTGGACCCTCAAGGCTGGGACCCGAGGGAGTCTGGAGCTTAGAGCAGAGCGTCGGGGCTTGGTTCTTGGGAGACGGGGCGGGGACTGCTGCCGGTACGGAGACGGGACGAGGGGTCACAGCTGTGGTGAGGGGACACGGGGCCTCCGACACGGGCACAAGTGGACAACCGGACCGCCGATCCCGGCCGAGGACGGTCACCACACTGACCGACGCCACCAGTGCCACGTGAAGAGACGCGGATGCAGACCACCAGATGACCGAGGGGTGGGCCCCGTGTCACCTCTGACCTCCAGTGGCGGACAGAGTCCTGGACAGAGCTGGTCCTTCGCACCTGGACTACGCAAGAGTGTTAAGCACTTAAGGGTGCAATCTGGAAGATCGGATGAAGAACCGTGTAGCCGACACAGTGTCACAGACTGAATTTTCAGGGACACAACGATCTACATGCGCTTTCCAGTCCCTTTGTAGGGCACAGGTTCACACCATCAGCAGTTTGATGAGCGACCAGGGGATCACAAGCCTTCAGTGACCCTTGGGATGTTCAAGATCTAAACCCAAGTTTCTAAGTGATCAGATCAGCATTTCCAAGACAAGCATGGGTATAACCTTTGGTTAATATAACTTCGAGGCAAGTGTTTTTAACAAAAAAAATTTATTACCAAAATACAATATTAAAGTCAATACATGACAAACTCCTATAAAGCAAAATAAATTACTCTAACATTGTACAGTATCTCCAAAGGTAGTTGAAGCGCGGCAGGGCTCGCCGCGCGGCGGGGCAGGCGAGCCGGTCTGCCGGGACACCATCGCGGAGAGGGAGGCGTTAAGGCATGCAGCTCGCTGTGCAGGGCAGTTTTACAAAATGCCAGTCATCCTGTTTTTAACAGGACGCCGTGCAGAACTGTCGTCTTTATAGGTCAGTGTTCCAGAGAGTTTCAGACTTTGGCTATAGAAGGAAACAATGCCATAGTGTTACACAATACTCATTTCTTAAAAAAATACATGTATTCGTGTCCATGGGTAGCAAACTCAAAATTCTATTAAATATACTTTATAGAATATTACTTAGAGCACCTTGCTGTACAGTTAAAAAAAAAAAAAGATTAAATAAGTGTCTATGAAAACGAAAAACAGACTGTGTCTCCACAGAGCAGCCTGCGTGTCCTCGGGCAGCTCCTCCCCAGCAGGAGACGCCAGGCAGACACGGGTGCCCACCCCCTCGTGCAGGAGACAGAGAACGACAGGACGACAGCTCTCGGCCAGGGTGACAGACCTAGGACAGAGGCTGTGGCGGGTGTCACTCCCATGCACTGTCTCCAGGTGGCCTGGAGTGACGGCAGGACACTGCCACTCCGGAGCCCGGGACACTGCCTACGCTCAGGACCGCTGGAGAAAGAGGGGAGCGCTGCGCACCTGAGTGTCGCTCGCGATGGTCCCAGGGCACCGCTGTCCCCTCCCCACCGCTGCCCCCTCCCCACCGCTGCCACGACCCTAAGTGTCTTTGAAAAGCTATCTCCAATACCAACTCTTAGAACTGTCAGGGTTCAGAGTGGACAACAAGTGCACAGGCTTTGCAGGGCCACAAGCCCCTGCCAACACCTGACGCGCCCCCAGAAAGGGAGCTCTGGCTGGTCACTTCGGGCCCAGCCCGGCTGCGACGCCGTCACGCGCTCAGTCTGCTTCTGCGCTGCGGGAGGCGCCCTGGCCCCTGGCCCCTGGCAGTGGCACCAAGGCTGGCCACAAAGCGGGCACCAGGAGGTGCGGGAACCCGCGGGATGTGGCCCCCTAAGGCCAGGGGGAAGCTTTGGAGGATGTTCTAGGCCACATGAACATTTAAAGACCTTGAACTCCCGTCAGTTTCTTTCCCCACGAGCCAGGGAAATTTTAAATCCATGATTCCAGATGGGAAACTTACGTAACAATCAACGGAAGTGGTCCAAGGAAATGGAAAAAGTAATTAAAAAATTCCCTGTTGAAAATTTTGGGATGTTTTTGGTTATTAGTATTGTCCAAAATGATTACACAAAATGAAAGCCAAGGAAAATTTATAAAACAAAATTTTTTAAGGTCGCTGACTCTCTGAATCACGGGTTTCTGTAAAGAAACCCTGAGTCCCAGCCACCAGCAGTGGAGGGCTGGCTGAGTGGCGACAGGGTGGGTGGTGCTAACAGGGCCATTCAAAATACTTCATTTGCATCTGAAGTGAAATGTAAGTGTTTTCCTTGTGAAAACAGGACAAAATGAATATAAATCCACACGCAGCGGACTTGGGGAATATAATTTACTATACATACTCCTTTCTTCGTAAAAATCATGTATCAAAAGTGGATTCACTTTCATAAATAATTTATAGCTACCTAAACTAAAGAGCTGCAAAGTTACAATCAATTCTGTTTGCTTAAAAATCACCATGAAAATGAAATTAAGAACACAAATCAGTGTTTCAGACACCTGGCCCCACTGCGATCCCAGAAATGCGGGCCCAGGCACACCTGGACTCTGGGGAGGGGCGTCCGTCTAGCCCGGGCCCCCAGAGCGTCACATCCAACGAGTCTGTCTTCGCATCTCCAGAGCCGCCGGCGCCGCAGCGGGGCCCTGCGGCTGCGGACACGGTTTGGGAGCAGCACCGAGAGGCGGGCCTGCACGCGGGCCGCCCGGGATTGTGGGCACAGTTGACTTGAACAAAACGAGGCATGAACACCGGACAAAACTACAAAAGCCTCGGCAGAGAACCCTGTGGCCTCAGAATGCACTATCATACAAACTGTGTGAATACGGAGAAGTCACGTTTATTTGACGGCACGTTTTAAAGCGAAGCAGGTCAGTGGGTCTACCGCGTGTCCTCCTACGCACGGGAGAGAGGAGCTTCCTAGCGAGGAGAAACCCTGCAGACTCGCCAATGCTGCTCGTTTGTTATTAAAGTTCTAAAACCACCAGAATTTTCAGAGTATTTTGGCCATGTCTGGTCACACCTCATCTGCTAACTACGTTAATTAGCTCCAGGAAAGGAAAATCTCAAAGCAACCCTTCTGGGGTGTCCAACCCGTAGCCCACGGGCCGCATGCAGCCCAGGATGGCTGTGAATATGGCCCAACACAAAATCATTTAAATTTACTTTGAACATTTGAGATTATTTTGTGATTACGTGTTGCAATGTATTTAATGTGTGGCCCAAGACAACTCTTCTTCCAGTGTGGCCCCAAGACGCCAAAAGGCTGGACAGCCCTGCAAAGGGGATTCTGGGCCCAGCATTTCTTCCCCCAAACGATTTTAAGAGATCAAACCATCTCCGAGGTCTGATGCTCAAGTGCAAACCCGCACACTTTGCGGCTTGCACAGACACTCTCAGGTGAAAGCTCGGTCTGGGTCAGCAGAGGGGGGTGGCCCGTCCCACAGAGAACAGGACGTCTGGGAAGGGACTGGCCTGAGCTGGGACACACATTTATGAAGCTGCAGGTTTGGCTGAGTGTGGTGGGTTCCCCTAATTCTTCCTGTGCCCATAGGAACTTTCTGCGAGCTTAAGATAGTAACTTATTCCTTAAATGCCTACTTACAAACCTAGCTTTGGATTTAGAGGTCTTTTCCTTCTTTCCTTTTTTCCTTTTAAAAAAGAGTAAAGCAGTACTGCCTAGGGTACCTGTCGAGTTCCTCTCGGCCTGGGGGAACACGTAGGTGCACGGCCTCGCAGCCCTCCGGCCGAGAGCCACCGCCCACTGCCCTCGGGAAGGGGCACCACAGAGCTGGCTGCCCCACAGTGGAGGAGGAGAGCCAGGCTCTGCTTGGGACTGTGACCCTTTCGTAACAACGGGTTTCAGAACAGTTCCTGAAAAACCCTCTCTTCACGCTCCTGCTTGCATCTCTGCGCTACCACAAGCTTTCAGCAATAACTACGGTTACAGCCAACGAGAGGTAACAGAAGGTTGACACGGGACTGTACCTTTGCTTGCTTGCTTCCCAGCCAGTTTCCCTCAAAATATTCAAATACAGTCACCACCTATCCACTTGTAATTCCTGCCGTTTCCTCGAACACGGCCCCGCCGCCACCTCCTGGGCCTGGCAGGCAGGGTGGGGGTGGGGAGACGGGGGAGGAAGGCCCGCGGCCTCTAGCTCGCGGGCAGCGCGGAGCCGTGCTCCTTGTTCAGGATGATGTTCACGATCTCACCCTCGTGCTCCTTCATGTGCTCCAGCAGGCTCTCTTTGCTCGTGGACTCGAAGCCGCAGATGCAGCAGCAGAAGAGCAGGACGCAGTACTCCACCCCCGGAGGCACCGCGCCGCCGGCGCTCTTCTCCGGGCCGCAGGAGGCAGGGCGGGCCGGGCTCTGGCCCCCGCTCTCCACGGCAGCCTGGGGGGCTGGCTCGGAGGGCGGCGACACACTGCCCGGACTGCCAGGCGGGGGACCGGCTCTTCCTTCTCTGCTGCTCAAGAGAGTCTTTCCAAGTGGCTTCCCCAGGACCCTGAAACGCCAAACGAAAGCACCAAACCTTGAGCCGCTTACAACACAGGCCTGGAGCTTCCGCCAAGCAGCAGGGGCGGGAGGGGCCGTACCTGCCGCTCTGAGAGATGGCGTCGTTGATGGCCTTGTTCACCTGCTCGTAGTTGTAGTTCTGGTCGCTCGCGTGCTTCCACATGTGGGACTTCAGCGACGGGGGGTGGCTGCACACGTAGCCGCACAGGGAGCACCTGCAGCAGGGGGTCACAGGAGCCACGTTACACCTCCCAACAGCGGCCCTGCCCCGCCGGCCCAGCCCTTCTCCTGAAGCCTTGCCAGGCCTCGGGTGTCATCCACTCTAAGAGACATAACGATTTCGGGGGCTAAAATGTCTTGGAACGGATCTCCTAGAGACAATGAGCTAACGTATTTACATTATGAAAAATTTATAAAAACCAGAACATCTCAGATTACTTTATATACTACACTACAGTGTTCTGAAAAAGTTCTAACACAGTAATATACTAAATCTAGGCTCTAAGTTATTTACACACACAGAACACTCTACATCCCTGTTTTTAGGGAGACAAAACAGGACTGAAGAACCTTCAACAGGAAGTGTGTGTGTGTGCGCGCGCAGACCTGCAGACAGGGAGGGAAGTCCCATGAGGACGGGCCACCGGGAGTTCGCAGACACGCCCACGACCACCTCTGAAGAGCTTCCGGGTGAGGCAAGAGCTGCCCCGGTGGGCGCACTCGGGGGTCTGGGCCGAAGCCCTTCAGAAGCAAGGGGCTCTCTCAGGGCACCGCTGGGTGACACCCACACCCGTGTGGGACACTGTCACGCCGCCGTCAGTGCGTCAGTGACAGGAGTCTTTGTGGCTGACCCTTGACCAGGGCGCAGGGTGCGTCGGGGACGCGGGCGCCCAGCCACGTGGGCGAGGACACACGCAGCTCCGACCCGCCGTGCCCGTGGCCAGCTGTCATTGACGGGGGGCTCACCGTCTGCTGTCCACTCTGGACGTCCTGCACTCACCACGACGACGCCACCCTGAACGAGTCCCTGCCCTGACCACCCTCTCCGGTCCCCTGTCCATCCCTCCTTGCCCACCATTCCCCAAAGCAGAATCTGTCCCAGGGGTTTCACTGCTCCTGAGCGTGAGGAGTCTTCTGCAGGAATGCTGAGGACTCGGCACCCGCGTCACTGACACTGCTGCCCTCGCTCTGGGGGCCTGGGAAGGCACGAAGCTGGTGGGCACAGGCATCTTCCTCTGCTCTAAGGAGTCTGCACGTCCACCGTCCTAGGCCTCGCGCTCAACACCCGTGTTCTTTCACAAACTGAACGATGCTCTCCTGTTTTTAAATCCTCACCTGGGCTGCTTCTCCACTGATTTCTAGAGAGGACTGGAGGGAGGGACGGGAGACAGAGAGACAGAGCGACAGAAACACCAACGGGCAGTCTTCTCACATTCTTGCAGGTGCCCCAGCCGGGGACTGAACCTGCAACCCAGGCACATGCCCCGACCAGGAGTCAAACCCACGACATCTCAGTCTACAGGACGATGCTTCGACCAACTGAGCCACGCTGGTCAGGGCTGAACAGTGCTCTTGCAACGAGCGTGTGCACGTTTCTCAGTGCTCAACCCATGTTCAGACAAGGGCATGCGTTTCCAGCACGTCCTCGTCCTCCCTCGCCGCACGGCACGTCCACGCGGGCGCGCGACCCCGAGCCCAGATGCGTCACCCACCTGTACGGCTTGTCGGCGCTGTGGGTTCGCCGGTGGTTTCTGACGCCCACGTGCGTCGTGCTCGTGTAGTCGCACACGTCGCACCGGTACTGCTTCGGGGCCGCGGGCTTGTTCTCTAGACAAGGCATTTCAGAGCTTCAGCGCACGCTTCCCGCTGACCCGCACGGCAGCACCCACCCCCCACGGCACCGAGGCCTCGGTCAAGGCCCCCCGCTGGCCGGTCGAGTGGACCAGTCTCCACAGGGCGTCTCGGCTTCTCCTACACCTGGACTCGCGGCAGATGCGAACTCAGCATCCCTGGGCCTGCAGACACAGGCACACTGGGCTGGCCGCTACGTGACCTCACACAAGAGTCTGACGCCATGGACCTGATGCCGGCTGCTCTGCCCACTAGGAGCAGCTGAACCAACCAGAGCGCTGCGGTTAATGTGAAAGGTGTCAGTCTAACCAAGACTGGATACATCGTCTTGGGGAAACAGTGATTTGCCAACAAGCTGTAACTTAGTATCAGAATCCAACGTTACGAAGTATTGCTACGAAGTATAGGTAACAGGCTGAATACAAAGTCTTCCAGCCTGTAGGTTTCCTCTGTTTATAGCTGTCACCTGTCACCTGCCCACCTGTCTGCTGCTAAGGACCAAGGCTGCGCACTAACAGCCAGCGCCCCGACAGGTCCTGAGGACCAAAGTCACAGCCAACGTGAACGTGCAGCCTCTGAACCCACAGGCCGACCTGCCCCAGGGCAGGGCTCCTGGGCCGGGGAAGCCTGGGAGGGCAGGCTGGGCGGTGAGCTCCTGGAGACACCGAGCCCTTCCTGCAGCCTGCGGGCACCAGGCCCGAGCTGCCCACAGCCCGGCTGCGCAGGCGCGGACGCTGGCAGAGCGCAACGGGAGCGAGCTGAGGGGCAGCAGGCCACAGCGGGAGGAGGGGATGTGTGGGCACAAAGACAGCCCACACAGGAACGAACGAAGAAAACCCTCAGTTCACATTTAAGCTCTCCACAATGGGAAGCCTCTTTCGCTAGAAACCACTTCTGCCAGGCACAACACAAGGTCCTCGTTCCCTGGGGTGAATCTGCCGCATTAACACACACACTGGTCCCGACTATGGTCCATGCACCCCTCCCACTGGGAAGGTGAGAGACCTGGACTTCACCGTACTGAGCACAGTCACCAGGGCCCCGAGAGGGGAGCTGCCGGGCCGGCCCGCGGTCCCGGGCGAGAAGTGCCGGGGCGGGTCCCGGGGATGAGAACTGGGCGCAGCACCGGGAGGGCGGGGAGGGGGGACCCCCCGGCAGCTTTTCCAGGGGAGGAACTGGGTTTCAACTCACGACCCTGGGCTTCGTCCTGGCTGCCGCTCTGCATCCAGTGATCACGGGCAAACGAGCCCCCTCTGGGGGACTTGGTTTTCTTGCCTGCCACACCGAACGCCCAGAGTGTCCCGGTGTGGTGCGGCACACCAGGGGAACTGTGCCCTCCCTCCATCACCTCTGTGGCTCCCGGGTTTCCGCGGGAAGTCCCACTGGCTGTGGGCTCTCTGCGGGCCGGGGCCTGTGTCTGCAGTGCTTGGCCGACTGCAGGTGTGCACTGAAGCGCGGCTCACCCCGAACCCCACGAGGAAACACAGGGAAGTGCTGGAGCCCCTGCAGACCTGGCCGCTGGGCCGGGCCCCTCCAGGCACAGACGCGGGCCCAGCACCCCGGCACCCAGCCCTGGGCCCGGCTCAGGAGGGCGCTCCCGGCCTTGGGCAGGGCTGTGTCCCAGCACCATGGCCCTGCACCCGGGGGGCAGAACGCATGCCCTCAGGCGCCTGTGCCATCGTCACGGGCAGAGACTGGGACCACAGGGCCACACATCTCCCCTCCTCTTCAATGAGATTACTAAATGGTTAAAAGACTTTCAGTAAACACGAATAAATTTTCCCTTCTTTGTGAGCTACACACGTGTTCTCAGGCCCGACAATCCGGTTCTGAAAGGTCTAATGCTGAATGAATGAGGCGCCAGGGCAGGTGTCACAGTGCAGGCGGCCAGTGGTCCGACCCACCCACTGCGGCAGCAGGAGCAGAGAGGAGGGCAGCTGGGGGCGACACGCAGCCCCAGGAGGCTGCAAAGTGGAACACGGTGGAGACCCTAACGCAGTGGAGCTCGTTGTAGAACAACGAACTGGCTCCTGTAATTCTGAGCTTGCGCTAACCTTCTCGTTAAAACTGTTGACCACCCGCGTGGACACGCCAGGCGACTTCGTCGGAAGACGGTGCCGAGAAGGCCCGTCCCCGCGTGTCCCCACGAGGACACAGAGGACGGCTGGTCTTCCGGGTGTTGCTGACGGGTTGACTGTGTGTGACCACGTGCGTGCACCTGCGTGGCCCTCCTCCACACTCCCCCTCGCCCTTGAAAAGACACACCGACCACAACAGCAAGGGCCAGAGGCTGCCAGGGAGGCGGCTGGCAGGGAGAGTCCTGCCCCACAGGTCCCGGTGACCCAGATGTCGGGCCCGGGCAGCGCCGCTGAGCAGGGCTGACACTTCCCGTCGTAGGGGACCCACGGTCCAAAGACATCGTGCTCTGGCGCCCCCTGTCCAGGGACGTGGAGGCACAAGGGTCACACTGAGAGGGGCCCTTCGGGCTCCCCTGTGAGGAGGCCAGCAGCTGTGTCGGTGCCGCCGCCTCTGGCACAGGCAGAGGCTTGGCCCTGAACTCCCGCGTCGGGGAGACGTCTGTGGGGACGCCACCTGCCTGACAGGGGCGGCTGGTGTCACCGCGGTGTCAGACCAGCTCTCTCCGAAACGTGCCAGAGCCAGTTGCGTCGTCTGCGTCGTCTGCGACGCACACCCCAGTGAGACCCTCTGCTCTGCAGCAGTCTGAACGGGAACGCCACCTCGGCGCGTTCTGTCTCCCAACAGCACCAGGCAGCGCCGCGCCCGGGGCCCAGGGGAGCGGAGCTCGGCGGCTTCACCCCAGTTCTGCGGGAGCAGCACCGCCTGCTCGCGGAGCTGTAGCGCAGCCCTCAGACTCTAACGCTCCTCTCGGCAGGAACTTGGTCGACCGGCACCTCACGTGCATGAGGAAAGATCTGGTGCTGTTTTTTCAAATCATGCAGGTGACACCTGGCAGTCGAACCCAGGTAAGGGAAAGGCCACGGCGGGGGCCTCGGCCAGAGCCAGAGGTGGGGGCCCGCCATCAGTGGGCTGCTCTGGCAGGTCAGCTGGCTGGGGGGCGGGGGGGGCCTGCGTCTACACTGCAGCTTCCCTGGCCTGCAGGCCTGCCGCTCGGGGGCTGTGCTGTGCTCAGCTCTCACGGGACAGCAGAGAGGCCAGCGTCGCGTCTCACTCCGCGCACCTCCCTCGGCGCTCAGGGCGTCCCCGGGAGCAGAGGTCAGACCCACCCACACCCACAGGACAAAGCGGAAGAGCACTGACACAGCCTTCGCCCCGAGAACCGCTGCGTGACAGACAGCTCAGGGCGTCCTCACCCGGGTGCGAGTGGTGGCAGCCGGGGGGACGTGCCCACGTACCTTCCTGCGTGCACTTCACCTCGGCCGCGTCCCTGGGAAGCCGCGGTTCAGGGGAAGCTGCTGTGGACGAGGAGTCGGGGAGGCTGTGCCGCTCTCTCTCGTGGCTCCTCAGCTGACTCTAGAAATGGGGAGACGTCAACAGGCAGTTTCCACGGACACGCTGCTGTGCGACTGCCCTCACGGCCTGGAGCCCGGAACACGGCCCGTGTCTCCACAGGGAGCGTGCAGACGGACCACCGGACGCGGCTGACAGTGGCGGGAGGACGTGCACGTGCTCACCGCCACAGACGCCCAGGAGGACTCGGCTCGTGCCCAGAACACAGCCCGCCAGCCGGCTGCTGCCGACCTCTGCAAGGGCACCCTACTCCTCCGGTCGCCCCAGGCCCTCCTGGACCGGCCCAGCGGCCCCGACTGGCCCTTGTGTCCAGAGGCCGGAGGCCACACCAGATATCGGGAGGCAGCCCACATGGCGCATAAGCCCTCAACGGCCTTTTTACCCAACTGCCATTTCAATGCCAACCAGACCCCAGCCCCCGGGAACCTGGCAGGAAGGGTGCGTGCCCCCCTGCTGCAGTCAGCCCCTCGGGAGACGGAGAAAATGTTTCCCAGTCAGCTGGCACACTGAAGAAAAATAGTTGTAAACCAGCGATCCAACGAACGCACGTTTCCTTTACAAAAACAGCATTTCTTGCTGCTGGTGGGTTTCGAGGTCGCACTCAGGGTGAAAGCCACACAGTGAGAGCGACCCTTGCATGCACTTCACTGCCCGCACAGCGACCACGAGCCCTCGGTCCCCGTGCTGCTCCTCGGCCCGAGCTCCCTTCTGCAGGGAGGGGAGTCTCGGCGGTTCACCTGCATGGCAGCTGCAGGAAGTGGCCTGCACTCTGGGGCCTGGGCAAGGAAAGGCTGGTCTTCCTAGTGTTGCTGATGTGGGGCTGAGTGTGTGACCACGTGCGTGCACCTATGCCGCCCTCCACCGCACTTCCCCTTGCCCTTGAAAAGACACACCGAACCACGCCAGCAAGGGGCAGAGGCTGCCAGGGAGGCGGCCGGCAGGGAGAGTCCTGCCCCTCGGGCCCTGGTGACCCAGACCCGAGGCCCGACAGTGGCACTCGCCAGCTGGGATCCCCGGGGCCAGCTAGCAACCCTCCCCGGGCCTGTCTCCTGACCCGGGCCATGCGGCGGACCGCAGCTGCCAAGCCCACCCCTGCTCCGAGGCTCGGAGGCCCCCGGGCTCCCAGGAGAGCTGGGGGCCCCGCACACCTTGTAGTGGAAGGCCTCCGCACAGCGCCTGCACGGGTACAGCCGGGCCTTGCAGTGGTGGACCGTGTGGCTCTCCAGCTCCTTGCTGCTGTCTGCCACGTGCTCGCAGATGGGGCACTGGTAGGGCTGCCGCTGCCGGTGCACCCGCAGGTGCTGCTTGATGTAGCCCTTGTTCCCGCTCGCATAGTGGCAGAGGCGGCAGCGGTAGGGCCGCTCAGCGTTCGGGAGGTATTCCACCACGCCGCCGCCCGGCAGGGCGGCCTCACCGCCGGGCTGGCACTGAGCGTTGTCCTGCAGCTCTTTCAGGATGTCCTCGTCCGAAGCATTCTGGTCCGTCCTTTCCCTCAGCTTCTCGATGACAGTGAGCAAGGACACGCTGATGCCCGTCTTCACCTGCCCGTCAGACAGCTCCTGCCTGCCCTCCGGGAGCGCCACCAAGGGGCAGCTGCTTTGGTTAAAACTGGCTAATCCGCTGGAAGAGTTTTTAAGTGGCGACATCATCTTGGAATACGCGGCCAACGTGCCGTCTGCCTGCCTCTGCCCGGCGTCTGAGCCCAGCAGGGCTGCGTCCCCGTGGGGCCCGAGGCTGGCTCTCGTGAGCTCAGCAGCCCGCACGGGCATCGTGACCAGGGCCTCTGCCGCCAGCGAGTGCAGCCGAAGGGACTCGGAGTCTGTCCGCCTCCGGCCCGGCGGGGCGTTCTCATCGGGGGCCCGTCCCTGATGGAGGAACTCGCCGTCCTTCTTCTCTGCGCTGCTCCAGCCTATGATCAGCCCCCCGAGGTCGACGGTGCACTGGTCGGCGCGATAGACCTCACCTCTCCCGGTGGGCCCCGTCCGGGCGTCCGTCAGGGGCGGGCTGTCCACCTCTTCCACCGCCGCCGCGCTCACGAGGAAAGGCTTCTGGGCCGCGGGCTCCTCGGCGCTGGGCAGGCGCTCCACGATCACGTTCACGTGGCCCTCCTCGTGGGGGCTGCTGCTGATGATCTTCTGCGCCGAGGACAGCAGGCTGTCGGCCGCCAGGCTCTCCTCCGCGGCGGGAATCACCTCGAGCACGTCCTCCTCGCCCGCGTCCAGGGCCACCGCGGGGCCGAGGCCGACACCCGCCTCTGCACCCGGCCCCGGGGCCGACGCAGAGGGCAGTGGCTCCGGGCGGCAGATCTGCACCTGCAGCGACGGCCCGTTGTGGATGCTCAGCTCGTTCTCGCCGATGGCGATGACCACAGCGTCCACCCCGCCGGGGGCGGCAGCGGCAGAGGGGCCCAGCAAGCCCAGGGGCTCGCGCTCGTCCTCGAAGACCGGGTAGGAACAGCCCACCTCCCCGGCGTGCTTCCACGCGTGCGTCTTCAGCATCCTCTGCTGCCCGCACGTGTAGCTGCAGAACAGGCACCGGTACACGCCGTGCTGCTCGTAGGCGTACCACTTCCTCCGCCCCACGTCCGCCTTGGGCGTGGCGGGGACGGCGTGTGTCCGCGGGCTGCTCGTGCCCGCGGGGAGGTCCGGGGTGGCCCTGCTCTTCCTCTCCGTGGGTCTGGGGCACAGGGCATCGGGGGGGCTCGCGCACAGCTGGGCCCTGGGCTGACCATGACTGCTGGAGTCATCCTCGTGGTCATTGGCCACGTGAGCCTCCAGCTCCTCTTGGCTCTTCGACGTGACGCGGCACTCGGAGCACATCAGGATCACTTCGTTCTCCTGCCCGTGCTGCTTGATGTGGTCTTTTAACACCGGGAAGGACGGGGACAGGAACTGGCAGAGGCTGCACTGGTAAGACATCCCCTTCCCATCGTTCTGGGCGGGGGAGCCGGGGCTCACGGGCATCTGGGGCAGCGCGGCCCTTCTCGCTGCAGCAGCCGCAGCAGCAGCTGCAGCAGGAGGCTGGGCTACCTTAGCTGGAATCTCACAGAGTTCTAGGGACTCAGGGGAGCACGTCCCAGCATTTGAACGTGAGCGTTTCCTCCCAATTAAAAGACATTTTTGTGACTTTTCGTGTTCCACTATCTTGCTTAACTTCTGGATAACATGGATTAGAGGGTCTGTTTTAGCTGTGCTCTGTTCATCGATTTCCAGGGAAGAGCTAATGACAGTTTCGGCCGTCAGCACAGCTTCCGGTTCCCCAATGTCTGACACCAGCATGGTGACGCCGTCGCTCTCTTCCATATCTAGAAAGGGTAACAGACAACAGAGAGATGGCAGGTCAGAGGACAGTCACAAGTGAGCAGCTCAGGGGACCGAGCGAGTCTCAGGGAATGAGCCGACCCAAGCCTGTGCCACGGGGAGCCCTGCACCAGTGTGCTGCCATCCCCACAAAGAGGTGAGCAGTTCAGAGCTCCTCTGTGGGGCGCTGGCTCCCGTCAGGGCTGAGGAGGGAGAGCGCTCCACCTCTCACCTCCTTCCCTGGGAAAGCCTTTCCCAATCTGCACCTCCCTTTTCTTCACCCCCTACATCTAGCCGGACCTCATCAGTGCCCCTCCCCCTTCTGCACGACTGGCTGAGCGAGCACAGCCACTCGCAGGCACGTGGAGCCAGCTCAGGTCACCGTGAAACAGCACTTCTCATGCCAAACAGACCTGCAGTTTTTCACTAAAGTCAACTTTCTGCCTTTTTCTCTGCAAAGGACTCGGGAACGAGCAGTAATTAACTTACTGAAAGGGCACAGTGGACTCTGCGCAGAACTGTGCACGTGACACTAAATAAAAGCCACGATGTGGTTCCTTCTTTTACTTCCTCATCTTCCTGAGGATAAACCGCAACTGCACTGTGGGTTTCTCCAGAGGTCACATTAGTGGTCAACCATCACTCACACACGACTCTTCCTCCAGAAAGGGAGAGGCGTCGACGATGAAACGACCGGCACCCGTTTGGGCTCCGGGTGCACACGCACACGGGCCCGCAGACCGTGGCCACCAGGGCCACCAGAGTCACTGCACGGAACACTCGCACGGTCTCTTTCAGTCTGAGTCTCACACTCCGTTTCCTGACATAACTTTCATTTCAAACATTCCCTCTGGCTTAAAGTGAGATTAGCTGGTTGCCTTGGAGCACATTTTTAAGCTTTTTTCCAGCAACGAGTTTTGTTGTTCCATATTTTAGGTGCATTCTGGAATCTTACAACATGCAGTGAATGCCAGGATTTTCAGCGGCACTAGCTGACTGCGAAGACCATGGTACTCTTAACCCTGGTCACAGGGTCTGAACTCTCCTTTCAGGAGGTGACCCCTGGCCCGCCCGCTGTCGGCCTCCCGAGGCTGTGACACATCCGCACGCTCAGCCACACCCGCTCACGCAGCTAGGGCTTCACCTCGTTCCTGCTCTCGCAGGCGCACTGGCCTCTGGGTCCGACCCGTCCACGTCAGGAGGAGACACGGACGGCTCACTCTTGGCTTCTCCAGCACCACCACCTCCCCCCGCACCCCGTCCCCACCCGACTGCACTTGCAGTGGGGAGGTGCAAGGCCCGGATAGCCATGCCCCTGGGGCCACTCTCTCCCTTCAACCACTTGGGGGAACTGCCTCTCGAAAGAGGACAGACTTCCCAGGCCACAAAGCGCTCGGCACCACACTGCGAAGTCTGGGCTGTGCAGCTTTGAGGCCGGCCTGGCCGGGGCCACACCGTCCAAGCCACAGGGCAGCCTCGCTCGGACGTGGGTCGCCAGCCCAGGGCAAGACCACCATGCCAAGTGCAGTGTCTCCTCCTGCACCACCACGAGACCGAAGAACCGTGCACAAGGACCACCTGTGTTTCCTACACCCTTCTCAGGCGGGAAGAGACCTCCACACCCACCTTCAGCCACTAAAGAGGGGCCACTGTGAGGACAAAACCCCTGTGTGACTTTCTCTGGCACCTGCCCGCCTGCGGGGCCCACAGCGTCAGGCCAAGGGGAGCTGCGGTCTTCACGTGACTGGACTCCCCCGCAGGCCGGCACTCAGGGCTTGACGCTTCAGTTCGTTGTCGGCTGCAGTCAGTCAGGTGAGCAGGAGCTAACGACAGGAATCCCGGACATTCTGTCTCTTGCACAAGACTCGGCGCTCGGCTGCAGGCCTCAGGCCTCCTTCCCGAGAAACCCGCACTGCGCAGAGCTGACCTCCGCACACCCACAGGCTGCCCCTCTTCACTCCTCGACGGAGCGGAGGGAGCCAGCGCGAGCCCGCTTCTCCCTGCGGTTAGTTCAGTGAACACCTTAAGAAGAAGGTGAGAGTAGGAGGAGGAGGAGGAGGAGTTTCTCTTGCCTCAAGAAAAACACACAACACGACCCCCCGACGAGACACTTCGGGTGAAAGCCGTGGGCTCAGGGGCCCAGCAGCAGACGCCCCTCTCCCTGGGCGCCCACGCGTCTCACTGGGGAGGCTGTGCACACGGGGTGAGTGCAGGAGTGGCAGCTCTGAGGCAGACACGGCACCCTGAGAAACACCAGAGAAACAGGCGTGGGTGCGCGTGCAACCACCAACGGCAAAGTCGTGTCTCCTTAAAACGAAGTCCCTGGTGACCAGGTTCGCCAGCTCAGAACCAAGTCTGCAGAGAGAGGGCCAGGCTGCCCTCGAGGCCTCCTCTTCCGACGTCCGCAGAGTCCCCTCGTGCCGCCAGTGTGCACGAGCACGAGCGGCCGCACGTCGAGCGGAGCAAGACGCACCTGAACAACAAGAGATGAAAGCAGAGACGACAAACACGACCCCAGCCCAGCGTCTGGGCGGCAACGACAACGTGGGTTGTGGCAGCCTGCATTCCACGCAGGGAAAGCCACTGTGAAGCATGTCACCGTGGGGTGGGGGTGGGGCAGTGGAGAGAGGACGGAGGAAGATGGGCAGGTCAAGTAATCAGAGTGACCAGCACCCAGGAGTCCACTGTACTGTTCCACTTATGTAAATGCTTACATTTTCAAATAAAAAGTCACAGGAAAAAAACTGTTATGTGCAAGGCACCAAGCCAAGTACCAGGAAGAACAGAAAGATTTTAAATTTATAGTACTCATAGTTCAAAAATGAGCTGAGTGAATAAGACAAACCTATTTTGAAGTTTAAGGGAATCAACGACTTTGAAACAAGGCAACGGTCCGTGAGGCAGAACGTCAGGAGGCCACAGGCAGTTCATGGTCAGACCCCACCAGAGGCCGCAGAGCTCTCCTGGTCTGGGAGGGTGAGCAAGGCTTCCTGAAGACGTGAGCCAGATGCTGTGTCCCACCGGTGTCCCCCATCGGCCCCGCCAGGCCATCTGTGCCACCAGGGTGCACACCACTGGGACCCTGCCCTCTGCTCTCTGGGGGAGCTGTGCCCACAGGGAGCCGTGACAGGAGCTCAGGGGCAGCAGAGGGCAGCACGATGCTCGTTTCCCGGCCTCCTCCCTGCAGCTCTCCCCGACCTGGCCGAGCTCCTGCGTGCCGCACTCCTGAGTGCCGTGCTCCTGGGAGCCAGCGGTTCTACAGGAGGCCCCTCCCCGTCTTCCTGACCTGCTCCAGATAACCGTGCTGTCCCCCGGTTCGCCTGCCTGAGTCCCACCCCTGGGCTCTGAGCACCTCTGCAAAATGCATCTCCATAAAGCGCATCTTCAATCATCCAACGCAGAGGGGCCATTTGCCTTCTGCGGTTCTGTAGACGCAAGGGTAAGACGGACAGGCAGAGCAGCCACAGCACCCCCGTTCGGAAAGGGGAGCAGGCCTGCTGCCTAGGGGCTGGTGGAAAGGCCCGCATGGCTGAAGGGGAGCGGGTCTCCTGTCTGCAGCCTTCAGACACGAGAACATCAGACCAGACACATCACACTGTCACAGCTGCAGCCCCGCCCAGAGAAGTTCCACCTCCTTTCCCACTGAGCCTCAGACCTCTCCCGGACGAGAGCAGTCCCCAGGCAGAGGTCCACAGCAAACATCTCCTTCAAAAAGAGCCAAGTTCACTCAGCTGTCTGCACTTCCTTGCACTTTGCTGTGTGGTTTACTTGTGTGCCTGATGCGTTTTTCCCAGGAACAGCAGCCGGTCGGCACCCCAAGTAACACCCGGCTGCAGGACTCGAGTGGCTGCACGGGGACTGGGGGGGGGGGAGGGGGCGGGGGTTGCTGGCCCGTGCGAAGACAGTTCCGCACGTCGTGAAGAAACTGCTCTTTCAGACCAAGAATCTGCTCTCTTCCAACCAGAAAAGTCTGCTGTGGAAGCAATGGCCAACCCCCATTCTTCTGACTACTGTAATTCTAACACATAAAACATTAATTCTATCCTGCCGAGAGACGGCAGGGGACAGGCACTCGCGGCCCCCTCTCCTACGGGAGCCTCATTTGGCCACACGGCCTTACACAAGTCGCCGTCTCTGTGGGTCTCAGGTGCCTCAGGCGCAACACAGAAGAGCAGCACAGGACGAACTTCTGTGTCCCCGGATTCCAAACTCCCCGTGAAAAATCACCCTGAAACTGCTCACACACTATTCATAGACTTACCTTACTGATGTCAGCTATAACTGCATTGATTAAAATCTTCTTAGCTTAATGTAATTGTGGATTGCCACCAAGAAAAAAACTGAGTATAAATACTGCAAGTATATGAATTTCACGGTATACCATTTCCTAGCTGGCACCGGCCTGAAGTAAGTTCTAGTTTAGCAGCTCCAAGGAACGTGAGGTCTGGCTGGTGTGAACCAACCTTCCGGTCTAACCCTGTCGAGCAGCTGTGATGAGCCACGCCCGGGGCTGGGGGCTGTGGCGATGGGGGTCCTGCCCGGCACTCCTGGGAGCCCTGGCAACGGCGACCTCCTCTCTGCAGACCAGGCTCAGGGACAGGAAGCAGTCCTCGGTCCAGGAACTGGCGCCCCAGTGTGCAAGGATAAACCTACCCTTTCTCAGCACACTAACTCCCCACTGGTCTGTGAGAACGGAAGTGTATAAAGCAGCAGCCCCTCGGAGCTGGGTCGTGTGAGCCACGCAAGTGTGTTTGCTCCTCGGGAGCTACCCGGCCTTACGGACAAGGAAACACCGGTGCCTGTTGCAGTGACTCACCCAGGCTTACTCGATTGTTAAGGGGCAGAGCCGAAGTTTTGGTAGTCAGTTCCTGAAATTAACACTCCCTTGGATCAATCTTCAAAACCCGGCTGTGGCCAAGAACAAAAGCGGGTCATAATCAACCATTTCCCTTACTTGGTGAAACAAAGTAATAACTTTGGGGGCAGTGGGACACTTTTCAATATTCTTTGTCAAAAGGAACCCCATTAGGTGATGCAAATTCACATTACTCATCTCCCAAGTAAACTTCACGATTCTGTACAAGTTAGAAGAAAAATAGCTCTGGAAACTTCTCCAGTAAGTGTGCATTTTATGCTTTAGCTCAGAATCTATCTAACCTGCTCAGAACACGACTGGTTACACTGACACCGCTTTCTACACCGCTCTTTCAACCCTCACTGGACACACAGTTGCAGGGGTGTCCAACCTGGGGCGCCGGGGCTACACGTGGCCCAGGACGGCTATGAGTGCAGCCCGACACCAAGTCGTAAGTTGACTTAAAACACTTGAGAATTTTTTGCGGTTACAGGTTGCAACGTATCTAATGTGTGTCCCAGAGATGCCAAGAGGCGGGACACCCCTGGCTCCAAGAGTGATTCTGCAAACCTCAAACAGCTCCGTCGGCCTCCGAGGACAACACGCGGGGGGCGACCCGCTCGCACCCCCTGGACAAAATGTCAACCCCGGCCGCACGGCGCCTGGCTCCCGGCCGTTTTCCCATCCGCAAAGAACCTACACGACCAAAGGGTGCGCGTGCGTTTCCCCGGAGCGCGACGCCACGGCTAAGTTCACAGCCAGGGCAGAAGGCTCTCGCCCTTCGCCTGGAGCTAACGCTACCCGAGGCGAGGGCCCCAAGGGCCGCGCTCCCTCCGCGACCACGGACGCACGCCCCGAGCCCAGCTGCCGCGTGGAGGGGCTCCGGCGGAGGCGGCCGGCCTGTCACTCATCCGCGCGGGCCGCCTGGTCCCGGGCGCCGCGGTCTCACGAGGCGGGCGCTCTCCCCACGATCCGCAGCTCCGGGAGCGCGGCGGCCGGGCTGCCGCGCCCCGGCTGTCCTGCACCTGCCGTCCGGGCGGCCGGGCGGCGGGGACACAGTACGGCGGCCGACAGCCGTGGGCCTCGCCGCGGGCGCTCACGGGCTGCAGGGGGCGGCGCACATGGCCGGCGGCGGCGCCTGCAGCGGCGAGGGACGGCCCCGGGGCGCGGTACCTGCGGTCCGGCGGCGGCAACTGCTGCTCCGCGGGCCTCCTGGGGCCGGCCGGGCGCCCCCGTGCCCTCACCGTCGTCCTCTCCCGCCGTGCTACCGGCTCCGCGCCCTCTTTTCCCCGCTTTTCGGCTCCTCACCGGAGCTCCAAGATGGCGGCGCGGGGCCGGTCACGTGAGCCGCCGGCGGTCAGGTGATCGAATGTGGGGGCGGAGCCACAGTGGCCCCGCCCACGGCTTCGCTGGGAGGCGGGGTGGTGCGCGGGCCACCCCCAAAGGCTGGCTAGGACCCTGCTGCGCGGGCTCCGGGCGGTGCGGGCGGGGTGGGCTCCGGGGGTCCCCGCGCTGCCCTCGGGGGCGTCGGGGCGGGGTCGGCCTGTGTCCCCTGCGTCCCCCCCACGTCGCGGTCTCTGTGCGCTCGCGGTGTCGCTGCAGCCTCCCGGGTGCGCGCAGCGTCCCCTGCAGCCTCGGAGCTTGGTGCAGCTTTAGGTCGGGCTGGACCCTTAGGGGCTGGAACGCCGGCCAGAGACCCAGCGGGGTTCGCGGCTCGCCGTCGGGGATGGCCGGAGATGGGCGGGGCTGGCGGGGACACCTGTGGGAAGGATGGAGGATTTTCGGGGCAAGAGCTCATCCTAGGGGCTGCGGGCCTCCGACCGCTGAGGGCACTGTGGTGGTTGCGTTGGGACCTGGTTCGTGACAAACACGCCAGGGTCCCGAGCAGCCCCGTGGACCTGGTAACCCACGAAGTGAGAAAAGCATGGTGCTCGGCTTCACCCAGGGCGTTGGACGATGTGGGTGCATCCAGGACGCCGCCCCGTGTTTGAGGCTGGACTCAGCAGATGAGCCTCGGACAGTGCGGAGACAGCTAAACTGAAGAGCCGGTCACAGTGCTGGACTGAGAGGCCTCTGGGCGCTGACAGGTGCGCCGGAGTCTCTGCAGCAGGCCCGGCTAGTCAGGCCGGAGGGAGGGCCCACGTGACTCAGAGTCACCGTTCAGACAGGTTCGCAGTGCCCGAGATAGCATCTCTGTCCCCACTCACCTGAATATTTGGGGGTTGAGAAACCAGCAGTTAGAATTCTGCCTCTTTTTTTTTTTTACAGAATATTTGCCAATTGGATCCAATGCTTAAGAAAGAGAAATAAAGGACTGAGCAATTTTTTTTTTCAATGAAAGAGACTGAGCGGGAGATTAGCATGGAAGGGTGGGGGGGGGGACAAAGAAACCCAGAAACACCTAAAACGGAGAATGTGAGCTCAAACAATCCACACGCAAGTTCCTCCCCTTCCCTTTAGCTGCCAACACAAACACTCCTCGTTCATAACACCCCACAGAGAGGCTTTTCTGCAGTAAGGTCCTCGAGTCGGAAAGTGGGCAGAACCGAAACTGAGAATCATTCGATCATGGGAGAGTGCAGAGACTTAGTGCAGAAGCCATAATCTGGGGGAAATGAGGGAATGCTAAACCAAGGGGAGGGAGGTGAGTGAAAGTTTGATCCTTGTGCGATGATCCCCTCCGGTGTTCTCCAGCTCTTTGCAACGTCCTGGCCAGCACCAGGTTCAACTGAACTCCTGGCACAGAGGCGTGGCCTGTGAAGGGGGAGATGCTGTGTATTGTGGCCAGAAGCCAGGAGTGCCACGTCATTCCTGGAGCATCTAGTGGCCAGTGCAGCTCTGCCCGAAGTTACTGTTCCTGGTGGCTGGAGAACCAGTGGTGGTTCAGCCTACATTTTAGAGTCGCCGGATGGTGGGTCTATAGGGTGAAGAAGTCCCTGAGGTTTTGGAGCTGTTCGTTACTGCAGCACGACAGCCACCGCTGACTGACACGCCTCCTCTGTTCCCTGAGTCACTGGAAGAGGCATAGCCAATGGGAAGAAACCATTCTGGGCAGACAGGGACGCTAATGAGAGAACAGGCACCTTCATCCCCGAAGACAGACACGGGACGGGATTCTGAGTCCCGCAGGGAGACCTGCGTGACTTACAAAAGCCAGGGCAGCGAAACCTCAGCGTTCCTCTTCCTGTGCACAGCTAAGTGACACATCTGCAAGTCGGAGAAACACAGAGACATTCAGACATAGTTTCATTGGACTTTCATCTCCCAGAACAGCATTCATCCTGGTTTAATGAACCAATCACAGTACGATTTGGTGCCATAGACAGGAAACTCGCTCACCCGGTTATCTAGCACCTCCCCAGGGGAATCTGCTTCTGTCTCTGCAGGAGCGATGCCCCGACAACCAAATCCCTATCCTCACACGTCTCATGACTCCGCTTTGGGACCAGTAATTAGTTGATGAGGTGAAAGGTTTTGCTTCTTCTACAAGCATCATGGGTCTGCTTCTTCTAAAGTGGGAGTCTGGTAATACACAGTATTATCAGACAGCCCAAACTGGAGCACTGTGTAACCTCTGGGAGCACTCAAGCGCAGTGCAAGGGGTGAGTTGCCATGGCGACGACAGGTTCTAAGGCGGATGAGGTGTTGAACCACGTGGAACTTGAGAAGACTGACTTGTTCGCAGGCATGATACTTATGAAGGACACCCCGTCTTTGGTGTGATAACTTTAGATTAGGTTTGGGGGGAGATTAATCTTATATGCCTTAGGCACAGCACAAAAAATTGGAGAAGACAAGTTAGCCTGGAGTTCTTTTCATTGTAATTGTTATCTTGATCTTTAACAAGTGTACTTTGACTATGCTGCCTCCCAAAGGAGAGACTGTGGAAGAGGGAGAGGAGGCGGGAAGCCTAAAGGGGAAAAGAGGACGTGGGGTCGTGGCTGAGAAGACAGACAGACACTTTCCCCAGCTCTGGGTTCCGCTCCCACAGGGCTGCAGGGCGCCGGGTCCCGGATGGGTTCTCCCGGCCCTCGAACGAGAGCTCAGTCTGTCCTCGTTTCCAGCCTCAGGGGCCTGCTGGTGGGAAGTCAGGAGTTTAATGACAGGAGTCCTCCGGGGTGGAAATGGGGCTGCATCATTAAGAGTAATGACAAGGCTTGATTTTATTAATGAGTGAGAAGACTGCTTGCTGTAAGTCAGAAGGGATGTAAGATTACGTGACGTGACGCGTGATTATATATACAGCTGTCAGTGATAAATTAACATCCGCTGTGGGTTCTTTACACTTTGCATCGTGAATATACACCTCGAAATGCTTCATAATTACAGTTCAGGTCTCAAGAATCATCATAAATTACCCACCTGCCATTCATTCTCTGCTAAAAGCCACGGACCGGCCTCATTTCAGCGGCACAGTGACATCTAAGCTGTCACGTGCTACAAGGCTCACATGTTAATTCGCTTTTTACTGCGGACCTGAGCATCCCAGGGGGACACCCCGCCGCTGGTGATGACAGGAAGGGCAGGAGGAGAGCGGGGTGCCCCTCTGAGGACCGGGCGGCCCTCTGAGGACCGGGGCGGGCTCTGCCTGACACGGGTCCTGCTTACCTCTCAGCTCAGCTGGGCTGGGTCTGAGCGGCCAGGTGCTTCAGAAGACAAGCTCGGACAGTTGCAGCCTTGCCACCCAGGTGGTGGTGGGATTCTGTGCAGAGTTCCCTTAGTCCCTGGGGTGCTTTGCCCAGGGGCCACTCGTCCCCTGCCCTGGGCAAGCAGGCTGCCATCTCGGAGCGGCTGTACACAGAGGTCCCCAGGGCAGGCCCCCAGGCACAGCGGGGACAGGGGCAGCATCACCAGAGGACAAGAGCCGGTCTGGGACAGTGTCCTCTCCACTCCTGGGCCCCTGCCCTCACCAGGGCCTGGCAAAACTCTTCTTCTAGGACCAGAGAGTGAGGCAGTAAGCATTTCTGGCTTTCGGTGACAGCAGCTCAGCTCTGCTCCTGTAGAACAAAATCAGACACAGACACTCTTTGAATGGGCAGGTGTGGCTATGTTCCAATAAAACTTTAATTACAAAACAGGCAGCTGTCAGGTTTGGCCCCAGGGGCTGCAGCCCCCCGGCTCCTGCCGTGGGTGTGAACAATCAGTCTGTCCAGCTGCAGTGGCAGACCCCACACTCAGCCCTCAGATCTGGCGGCCGGAAGTCCAAGACAAAGGTGCCGGCAGGTCAGGCATCTGGGGAGAGCCTCGTGCTGGCCGGTGGTACAAGCGTCTCCTTCCTGGGGGCTCCCCCCTCCTGACACCATCTCATGGGGGGCAGGGTTTCGACATATTCAACGTACGAGCTTTGGGGCAACAGTGTTCGTCGACGGCACAGAGGAAGGCCAGCTAATGTTGTTACTAAAAAGGGGGAAATGGGTGACCAAAGAGAAGCCATGTGACTGGGTTGGACATGCCCCCACTGGGCACCAACGACGGGCTGGGACAGGCCCGAGGCCTGGGGACTTGGCTCTGAGATGTGACAGGACGGGGTGGTCCCCGCGGCTGGCTGTCCGGCACACCCGTGTGGGGAGGGGTCAGGGGCGGGACAGCTTGTAAAAACTCAGAACATGTGGGAAAGGGGTGGGGGGGGTGACCATCCAATGTGAACAGTTTGCTCGTCTTTATTTCCTAGTTTTTCAACAGGGGACTTGGCACCGTTCCCTGTAAAACGGCCACAGAATCCATGAGGTGAGGGGATCTCACCTCCTGCGGCCTCACCCTGCCCTCCGCCCCGGCCCGGCCCGGCGGGGACAGCAGCCCCACGGCGGCCTGCCCGCGCCACGAAGACCAGGGCCGCACGGACGCCGTGTTGCCCTTGGTGGCTCCTCTCTGCAGTGTCGCCGGGTCCCGAGGCCGAGGCCCAGGGTCCCCCCTGGGACCTGTCACTGTGAGCCTGTGGTTGGAGACCCCAGTGGGTCCTTCAGACTCTCTGGGCCTCGGAGACTTGAACTCCCCACCTCTGAATTTGCCTCCGGTGCGAACGTCACCTGTTCCTCACCGTCCCTTACCATCGCATGTTTGACACGTGACGCCGAGCAGCTGGCCGGGAGCCCTGCTGGCGATCTGGGCAGCCGAGGGCGGGCGAGTCAACCACTGACGCCCCCTTTCCCTCTCCGCCAACTGCGCGGCGGGGCCCCAGGGGCGGCAGGCGCCGGCGCTGTCCTTGGTGCTGAAGTCGCGCTAGGGAGTCCGTCGGTTCCCCAGGGTCTGGCGGGAGGAGCCAGGCCGGGAGACCCTGAGCCTTGTCAGGGGCTGCCGCGCCCGCCCCGCCCCGCCCCGCCCCCCGAGCCAGCTGCTCACCCAGGCGTCCACCCCCGTTCCCTCCGGGGCTCAGAACCGGCGAAGGGTCCTGTCCAGTGTGCCGGCGGGGCGGGCGTCCTGGGGAGAGGCGCCCCGCAGACCATGTGCGCCCCCGGTGGGCTAAGGACTCAGAGCCCTCCCCGCCCCCGCACATCCCCGGAAAGCCGGACTGGGAAAGACGCGGGGGCGGAAGACCCAGAGCAGCCCCAGGCGGGTTTCCAAAGCTGAACCAGAGCCAGCTCCCCAGAGGGGCAGACACAGAGGTCGGGGGTGGAAGAAGGGGCACCGAGTGTCCCACACCCCTCTGTGTGTGACCTGCCCCTCGCCTCATGAGCTGGGCGACAGGGTCCAGCTCACTCAGCCCGGCCCGGGACACTGGCCTGCTCTGCACGCCCTCCCAGGACACCCCCACCTCAGGGCTCCAGCGGGCTAGCACCGTCCGGGAGGGCGCACCCTGGCCCCAACCCGGACTCAGCCCAGGCCTGCTTACCCCGGAGACCCCAGAGGGAGTGCCTGATGGAGGGGGGACCTGGGTGGGCCCCAGCTCAGCCCACCCCCACGCCCCCTCCCACGGCTACCCTTTTCCCAGCTTCTTCCCGCCCAGGCCCCCCACCACTGCCCTATCCCATGTCGCCCCCATCACCACCCACAACTCCCAGGCCCCGCCCCCTCCCCTGACCCCTCCCCTGTCCCACCCGCCCCCACCTCTGTCCTCGGCGGTGGCGGTGGAGGGAAGCACGTGTGCCCGCGCCCGTGCAAGGACGCACGGCCACGCCTGGCCAGGCCATCTTTAGCCCGCGCGCGCGGCCCCTCCGTGCGCCCAGCCGGGTCCCAGCGCCAGCGCCGGGAGCATGAGCGCGGGCTGGGAGCGCGGGGCGGCGGCGGCGGCCCCCAGAGTGGTGCCCGCGCCCTGCGCCTCGAAGGTGGAGCTGCGGGTGAGCTGCCGGCACCTGCTGGACCGCGACCCACTCACCAAGTCCGACCCCAGCGTGGTGCTGCTGCTACATTCGCAGGGCCGGTGGGTGCAGGTACGGCCGGGCGGGGGCGGGGGCTGGGCAAGCCGGGACCGCGGTGGGCTCGCCAGGCTGGCGGGGCGCAGCGCACGGCGCCCAGGAGCTGGGGCACATGGCGTGGGGTGGGGTTACCAGGTCGGGGGAGGGGGGCGCCAGGAGCTGAGGGAGCCGGGCGGGGGCTGGACTTGCTCCGCAGCAGCGGACAGGGCTCCGTGTTGAGAGAGGGGCGCTGGAGCTGGGGTGCCCCCAGGGTTCTGTGGGATCCGGAGGGTGCAGGCAGGGGGTCTGGTTAAGGGGCACAGAAGTGCGGGGCGCCCAGGAGTGAGCGGTGCAGCTTGGGTGGGGGCGCAGGGCTGGACTGAGGTGGCCGGTCCCCCTCTGTGCCCCGGGCAAGCAGGGTCTTCGCCTGGGGTGCCAGGTCCCCACGTTCCAGGCAGAGGGACCGGTCGCGGAGCCCTGAGCAGGCAGGGGAGCGGTGGCTCCAGAGTCGGGACTTGATCCCGAGACCCCCACTGAGAGGGCTCCCCAGCCTGTGGCCTGGCCCCTGGAGTGACACTGCGGTGACCCACCCCTCACGCGCCTGAGGCCAGGGTTGGGGCACCCCACGGACCTGGCTCTGGGTGGGCGTTTTAGTGTCTGGGGTGCGGGGGCCTCCCCCTGACACACTCTGGTCCTGAGGGTGGCTTCCCCGTGGCCCCCAGCCCTCCCTTCCATTTGGGCAGTCGGGAGTCTGGGCTGTGCAAAGTGCTTTCTCGGTTTCCACCTCAGGTAGGAAGGGCGAGAGCAGAGGAGGTCCGCCGTTGAGGCTGCGGTGCCTTCAGTGGGGGGATGGGGACCCTGGGGTTGGCCACCAGGAGTCTAGGTGGGGGCCCAGGAGGGGACACGTCAGGCGCTCTGCTGCCGAGGAGCGTGAGCTCTGACCTTGCACAGGCTCCGGTCATCTCGGGGCCACCAGCACCCTGGGGCTCGGAGACCAGATGGGTCCCACCCTCAGGCGTGCCCCTGTTGCCTGACGCGAGCACTGCTCGTGCAGACGCCTCGTCTGGGGTGCCAGAGTGTGTGGGACCCCGGGGTGGCCCTGACACCTGTCTGCCCAACTGGGGTTGTGCCCTGGGTGTCAGAGCCCAAGGTGGATGGTGGAGAGAGCAGGACCCAGCGGGAATCTGTGCCCCCGCATCCCGCCACCGCCCCGCAGGGTGCTGGGGAGAAGTCTCTGCTCTGGGCGTGCCCAGCCCCGGCCCCAGGGTCTGTCCCTGACTCACACCTCACTCGGAGAGTGGAGCCTCAGCCCCCCACTGTGAGGCGGAGGCAGAGCAGCCAAGGTGGGCATGAGATGAGGAGGCGCAGAGAAGCTCGCCCTGTGTCCAGCAGGGGTCACCTCCACGCCAGGGACGGAGGCGCAGGGTCCTGGAGAGAGTCCCGTGGGGGGGAGCGCAGGTCAGACGGGGGTCTTCCCCAGGAGAAGGGAGCCGAGGCTGGGCCGGCCCTGGGTGGTGCCGGGGAAGCCCCCCCCACGGGTCCGCTCTCCGTGCTGCAGGTGGACCGGACGGAGGTGGTGGGGAGCTGCCTGCACCCCGCGTTCTCCAAGGTCTTCACGCTCGAGTACTGTTTCGCGGAGGCGCAGAGGCTGCGCTTCGAGGTCTACGACAGCCACGGTCCCGGCGGCCTCGGCTGCCAGGACGACGACTTCCTGGGGGGCGTGGAGTGCACCCTGGGGCAGGTGGGTGCCCTGTCCCCTCAGGAGGAGGGCGGGGAGGCCCAGCAGGGCAGGGGGGCGCCCCGGCTGACCCCGAGGGCTGGCGCCGTGTGGCCGGGGAGCATCCTGGCTCTGCCGTCTCCACAGCTCCTTCTCTGTCACGGCCCCTTATTAGTCACTTTTGACAACACGTCATTTTGAGCTGGGCAATGCGCTCACGTGGTTCCCCATTCAGAGAGTGGGCACGGCCTGTCGGTCCGCGCCCTCCGCCCTGTGCCCGGTCTCTGAGCTCCGGCGGAGACCCGAACGCGCAGGAGGAAGGGGTGTGCACTTTCCTCTCTGCTCGGTTTTAACGCAGGAACCACACGCACCTGCTCCTCCCACTCCAGCTCCCCGGGGCGGGGCTGGGGGTGGGGGTGGGGGGCGCCCTGTCCCGCCCTCTGCACCACCGGTGTGACCACAGCACGGTGCCGGCTGCGCCCAGCACGCCCCACATCTGAGGCTCACGCGAGCCGGGGGGCACCGTTCTGGGCTGCGGTCTGCTGTGCGTGCAGCTGGACACGCAGACCGTGCAGGCGGAGATCGATGATGCACCCAGAGCAGCCTGGACGCCTCCCTCGCCGGCGGGCCCCTGGGGGTGGGGTGGGCCAGCTAAGTGCTGACGCCTGTCACCGCCACCGTCACCGCCACCGTCACCACCACCGTCACCGTGGAGATAGCGGAGGACACTCTGAGTCCCCCCCAGGAGGAAGTCACTGGTCCTCCAGCAGCTGTGGTGGGGGAGGGGTTGCCGTTCACCAGAGGAGGGCCCCAGCCCACTCTCTACAGCCTGTTCTAGAACCTCATGTCCCTGGATCACACGGGACGGTCGCGTCTGTGTCCGGCGTGTTTTGCACAATGCGAGGGCGCCCCCTCCGGTCGCCCGCGTCTCGGACGAGAGGATGGACGGAGAGTCAGGAAGGACTCAGTCCCGAGAAAGGGCAGAGGGCAGGGTGCCCCCGGGTGCTAGCCTGCCACCTGCCATGAGCATGGAAGAGGACGGCTCACACACGGCTCACACGCGGGCACACTCGGACACACGTGTGCGCACAAGCCCACGCACATGCCGTGCACACGCGGACACGCACGCAGGTGGGGGGCAGCCCCGGGGACACGAGCGTGTGGACGTCCAGGCAGCCTTTAGGCAACAGGCCAGAGCCTCGTGCTCCGCAGCCGCCCAGGGCCCCGCAGCCCCGACTGGCGGTGGGGGTGGGGTGGGAGGAGGCACCGGTCTCAAACCCCAGGGCCGTGACCTTGAGCGAGTCCCTGACCTCTGCCTGCGCCTCTCCACCTGGGAAACGGGGGCGCCAGGAGCAGGGCCACCTGGGCTGCGGACGCGCTAGGTGTGGCTGAACCTCGCGCCCACCCCAGAACCTCGGGCGGGAAGCGCCGTTGGCCACTCCCTGGTACCAGGCCGGCTGTCCCTGCTTCCTGACGAGAGCCCAGATGGGAAGCCCACAGATGGGAGAATGAGGGGGGGGGCGCATGCGGCCCCCACGCCTTGCTGAGAGCACCCCGCCCTGGGCCTGTTTCCTCTCCTGCACAGAGCGTTCCCGAGCGCTCGGGAGCTGCTCGCCAGGCAGCCCCCGACGGGGGGTGGGGTGCATCCTGTCCCCCGTCTGCACACAGCCCCTACACCGGGGTCACCCCAGCCCCCCCCAGCAGACAGGAGCCCACGCGGGGCGGGCCAGGTAAGTGCTGACGCCTGTCGGTGCGCCGTCGCCGTCACCGTGGTGATAGCTGTGTGTGGGCACCCTGAGCCCCCCTGAGAGGAAGTCGGGGTCCTCCAGCAGCCACGGCAGGGGGAGGGCTCGTCCTGTGTCAGAGGAGGACCCCAGCCGCCCGGGCACCCCCTCCGGGAAGCAGGTGCACCAGCTGCAGACGGCGTCCCTGCGTCGGCTCTCCGGCCCCATTCAGGGCCCGGAGCCTGATAGGGAGGTGGCCGGGTGCAGGGACGAGAGCCCGGGGCAGGAGGGGGAGAGCTGGGCTGCGTCCCCCCCCACCATCCGGCTCCTGCCCCTGCACCCCCGCCACCAGCCAGGGGCCACCCGTGAGGCCTGGTCTGCGGGTGCCTGACACAGGCCCGGTGCTCACCCTCATGTGGCCCTGGGCGGTCTCTCTCAGACCTCCTCTCTGAGCCTCAGTTTCCTCCTCTGACACAAGGACGACGGGGGCCCACGTGGTGGCGCAGTGACAGTGTCAGGCCAAGCAAGAAGGACGACCTTTGGCCGAGTGTCCCCGGGGAGGGCCGTGGGCTGGTGACCGCCAGGCCCCGAGGGCACAGGGCCCCCGTGGCAGGTCTGGGGGAGCCAGGGTCCCCGGGGGGCAGGAGCTGACCCTGCCGGGACCTTCCTGACCTCCAGATCGTGGCCCAGAAGAAGGTGACCCTGGCGCTGTTGCTGCGGTCCGGCAGGAACGCCGGCAAGTCCACCATCACAGTGAGCCCCCCTCAGACCTGCGCCCCGTCCTCGCTGCGGCCCCAAGGGCCCCGTCCGCACTGCCCACTAGGGAGGCCCCGGGGTGGGAGGGTGGGGTTCAGACGCCTCCCCTCCAGCCGCCGTGGGGCTGCCACTGGGTGTGGGCGGGTGGGGGAGCTCCGTCTGCCCAGCGGGACCCGTGGCTCTGCCCTGCCCAGGTGGCGGCCGAGGACATCTGCACCAACAGCGGGTTCGTCGAGCTCTCCTTCCGGGCCCAGGAGCTGGACGACAAGGTGAGTGTGGGGGGCCCCCCTGACCAGGCAGGGCCGGCAGAGGGAAAGGGAAGCCTCGGCCCAGCCTGACCCCCGCTTCAGGGCTCTGGGTCAGGGAGCACTGTCCTGACGGGCCGCACGGGGGCCGAGTCGCCGCTGTGAGCCCCGCCGCGCCCGCCGGGTGTGGGGCAGGGGAAGGGCGGAGGGGCAGCAGGCGGCAGTGGGGCCCCGAGTCACAGCGGGCGGCCCTCGGGAGGGGCTGCGGACTCACCGGACTGCCGAGCCAGCGGAGGCCACGGGGGTGAGGGGTCGGCGGGGACGGCAGAGCAGGGCCGCACCCTCTGCTGCCCCCTGCAGGACGTCTTCAGCAAGTCGGACCCCTTCCTGGAGCTGTACCGGGTGGACGAGGACCAGAGCCGGCAGCTGGTGCACAGGACGGAGGTGAGCGCCGCTGCCCGGCCCGCCCGTCGCTCCCCCGCGCCCCCGCCCTGTTGGGTGTCGCCTGCACACTCACCCCCACCTGTGAGCCCGGGCGGGTGGGGAGCGATGGCGCCGTGAGGATTCAGCGCGGGTCCCGCAGTCCACACCTGCAGGTGCGGGGCTTGCAGACCGCGGTCCGGGAGCGCGTCCCGTTTAGATAAGTCAGCGTCAGCTCTTAGCAAGGAGCCCAGTTAGGGAAGAGGGGCTTCCCCCTGGAAACCCACTCCTCTCTGGGCCTGAGCCGCCGCCCGCCCGCCCGCCCGCCCACAGGTGGTGAGGGACAACCTGAGCCCTGAGTGGGAGCCCTTCAAGGTGTCGCTGAACTCCCTGTGCGGCGGCGACGAGACACGGCCTCTGAAGGTGGGGACCCAGCCAGCCAGCAGGTGGGGGCGGGGACCCCGGGCGGGGGGACTCCTGGGGGCCGGGGGCTGAGCAGGCCGGCTCCGCAGGGCCTGGTCTGGGACCACGACGCCCGAGGAAAGCACGACTTCATCGGGGAGTTCACCACCACCTTCGCGGAGATGCAGGCAGCCTTCAGGGGGGGCCAGGTGAGCTGGCCCCTCCTGGTCCCTGGGACTCTGGACTCGGGGGCCCTGACCCAGCTTCCGGGGCGCCACCGGGGGCAGCAGCCACTGGGGGCAGAAGACCTGGTGTGGGCTGCCTCTCAGGCCTCTGGGGCCCCCGGGGGTGGGGGTGCTGGTGCTGGCACTCCGCGTGGGGCTCTGCCCGTCCCTGCCCCCCAGGCCCAGTGGGAATGCGTGAACGCCAAGTACAAGCAGAGGAAGCGGCATTACAAGAACTCCGGGGTGGTCATCCTGGCAGAGCTGAAGGTACGCGCTGGCTCTGCCCGCAGGCCTGCCCCACCCCCCACAGCCAAAGGTGACCCCACCCCCAAGGCCCCCCAGTGTCAGAGGAACTCTTGGGGACCTTGTCCCTGATGCCTGGCGGTCCCCAGGATTCGGGGGAGTTGGTGGGTGGGGCTGAGGGGAGGGGGAAACAGAAAGACACTCCGGCAGCCGGGGGCCTGCTGGCCTCTGCGCACCCCTGCCCCAGCCCCCCGGGGTGGGGCGCAGAGTCCCGGGCGGGCCCTGCTGACCCCACGGCCCGGCAGTCCTCCAGGGTCTACTCTTTCCTGGACTACGTCATGGGCGGCTGCCAGATCCACTTCACGGTGAGTCCGCGGGTCCGCCGACCAGGTCAGCACCCCCTCCCCACCCTGGCCGTGGCTCTGCATTGGTTTGGCACCCAGGACGGAGGTGCAAACGGACGTGGGGACAGTGGCACCCTTCTGCAGGGCCTGGAGGGCCCCCCCCATGTTCTTCCTGTGCCTTTTCCTGGGTCCTGTTCCGTGCAGGGGAGCCGGGCACCCTCAGGAGGGGCGCAGCCAGGACTGACCCTCCACAAAAACACAGTGATGGGGAGAGACATAGGGAGCATGGACTCCCGGGGGCCACACGAGGGGCAGCCCTGGCGGGTGGCCCTGGTGCAGCTGGACAGACAGCCAGGGGTCCTTCTGCCCACGCCCCATTCCTGCGGCGTCACCGAACGACCCAGACGCACCTGAGGGGTGTGTCCCAGTGGGTGCAGGGCTGGCCCCTCAGGGAGGGTGGCAGGGACGGCAGGGGCCCAGGCGCTCAGCGAGCGGCTGTGGGTGCGGGAGTCCCCTCAGGGAGTGCTCCTCACAGACCCTGGGAACCACTCGGACGGGCCCCCTCGCTGAGGGGACTGTTTCCCTCACCCGTCAAGTGGGGGCGCAGGAGCCCCCAGGCCAGGCGGGAGAGGGGCTCGGGCATCACCGCGGGGCCTCCGCAGGTGGCCATCGACTTCACGGCCTCCAACGGCGACCCGCGGAACAGCTGCTCCCTGCACTACATCCACCCCTTCCAGCCCAACGAGTACCTGCAGGCCCTGCTGGCCGTGGGCGAGGTCTGCCAGGACTACGACAGGTGCGCCCCCGCCGCCTCTCCCCCGTGGGCCGGCTCTGCGCCGCAGGCCAGGCAGCCCGGCATGGCTGACCCCGCGGGCCGGTGCCGCTCCCCGGCGGGAGTGGGGTCGGAGGGTGTGTCCACGGGGGCCTGGCCCTCCGCTCAGGGCACTGCTCACCCTTCACACCCCAGGGGGCCTGCGTCCCACTTTACAGAGCAGCGAACTGAGGCATGGACAGCAAGCCTGCTTGGGGGTGGGGCATGTGGGTGGTGTGTGGGCCACTGGGGTCCCGTGGGCAGGAAGCCGACCTTTGCGGGGGTCAGGCTGCCCCCCAGCAGGTGCCCAGGCCTGGAGTGGAGGCAGGAGATGTGGCCTCCACGTGGGTGGCTCTGTCCCCCCCGCCTGCACCAGGCTCCTCACCTCTCTGAGCCCGGCTCCCCCGTGGCACAGAGCTCTGTGAGCGCCGCCCAAGCCACCCTCACGGGAATCGGGGACCCTGTGTGACAGGACCGCCTCTCTTCCAGTGACAAGAGGTTCTCAGCTTTGGGCTTCGGAGCCCGGATCCCTCCCAAGTTCGAGGTAGGACAGCCTGGGGGCGTGTCTTCCTTTGCGCCCCGCCCGTGACCCCTGCCTCTCCCGGGAACTGCTGCCGTGGGGCGGACGCACGCAGGGAGCCTGGCCTCCCTACCGGAGGGACCGACCTTTGGCCTCTGGAGACAAGGAGAAGGGGACGGTGGTCTGGAACCCCAGTCACAGATAACAGTCCCGCTGGCTTAGGCAGAAAACCCCGGCGGAGGGCGGGGAGATGGCGGTAACGCAGCTCAGGGCTCGGGTCCCACGGGACGGGGGCTGGACAGATGCCCAGGCTGGTCTGTCTGTCTGCCGTCTGTCCTGGTGACTCCCTTCCAGGGAGGCGAGCGGGCTGGCAGCCCCCTTTGTGTCCCTCAGGTGTCCCACGACTTTGCCATCAACTTCGACCCCGAGGACGACCGGTGTGAAGGTAGGAGCGCCGGGGCCGGGGAGCAGCTGTCGCGGGCCCGGCTCACTGCCTCCCCCTGCAGGCATCCAGGGCGTGGTGCAAGCCTACCAGCGCTGCCTGCCCAGGGTCCAGCTCTACGGCCCCACCAACGTGGCCCCCGTCATCTCCAAGGTGGCCCGAGTGGCCGAGGCCGAGGAGCGCACCGGCGAGGCCTCGGTAGATACTCCAGGTCCTGTCCTTGAGGTCTCAGGGTGTCTTCAGGGTGTGGGGAGCCCCCTCCACCCAGGACCCGTCTGTCAGGGGTCACCCCAGGGTGCAGGGGGAGGTAGGTGGTGCGGGCACAGCTCAGACTCACTCCAGAAGAACTGGAGACCCCAGCTGAGGGGCGTCGGCGGTCCCACCCGGGGCCTCTGGGGAGCAGGCTGCATGTGGACTTGGGGGCTCGTCGGAGGTGGGGGCAGGGGCACAGCTGCCCTGAAGGGTCCGCACGGGGCCACCACTGTGCCCCCGTGTCCCCAGCAATACTTCATCCTGCTGATCCTGACGGACGGCGTGGTGACCGACATGGCGGACACGCGGGAGGCCATTGTGCGCGCCTCCCGCCTGCCCATGTCCGTCATCATCGTGGGCGTGGGCAACGCCGACTTCACGGACATGCAGGTCCTGGACGGGGACGCCGGCGTCCTGTGCTCCCCGCGGGGCGAGCCCGCCCTCCGGGACATCGTCCAGTTCGTGCCTTTCCGGGAGCTCAAGAGCGTGAGTGCTCAGGGCTGGGGGCAGAGGGGCAGGGCGGGCCCCGAGGTGCCCCTGTCCCTGTGACTGCGGCAGGTCCCCCTTGGGCAGCGCACCAGGAGACAAGGGCCCAAGCCACCCGTCCCCTGCCCTCCCTGCCGTGAGCAGGCCTGAGCCGCATTCCATCGGCTAGAACCTTCCTGCTGTGAGAAGTGTCAGAGCCACACCGGATGGTGTCGCCCCGGGGACCCAGGGGGCTTCCTCCGTGGCTTTCCCATCTCTTCGTGCCAAAAGACATGTCACATGACCACACAAAGGAAATCCGTGTCCCATGGACACACCTGTGGCCTCGCTGGGGCGTGGGGGGCTGGGCCCAGCTGTGAGGACACAGCACCCTCAGGCCTCGGCCACACTATCCCCTGTGCCTGGCAAGCTGGAGCCCTGGGGCCCTGGGACCCAGGGGTGGGGTTCTGTGAGCACACCCTCCCCCCCAGAACAGTGCCCCTCTGATGTCCCTCACTGTGTCAGCTGCTGCCTGGGGTCCCCCAAGCTGACTCCATGCCACGTGACAGGAGAGGCTCCAGAGATGAGGCTGGGGCATGAGCAGGTGGGGGTTGGAGGTGGGCAAGGCCACCAGGTAAGCAGGCTGCCCTGCTCCGCAGGCGTCCCCGGCAGCGCTGGCCAAGTGCGTGCTGGCCGAGGTGCCCCGGCAGGTGGTGGAGTATTACAGCCACAGGGGGCTGCCACCTCGGGGCCTCGGGGCCCATACCCAGGACAGCAGGCCGGGCCCCACACCCTGAGCACACACAGAGGAGGGGCGACCGCCAGCTGCCTCCGGTCTCCAGCACCCTCGTGGTCCCTTAAATCCCCCCAAACTTCCTGGGGACCCTTGCCCCCCCGCCCAGTCCCACCTCTCATCCTTGGGGCCCCCAAGGCTAGAGGATGAACCAATCTAGGCCCCGGGAAACCCAGAAGCAGGAGCTGCAGGTGTGGGGGGCTGGCGGGAGGAGCAGGGGTCCTGCTTAGCATCTGACTGCATGGGGAGGGGCCAACAGGGAGTGCCCCATCACCGAGAAAACCGGGGCCCCCCGCCTGCCCGCCCCCCACCTCCACAGTCAGATTGCCCCTTCCCCCTCCCTGCTCTGTGTCCTGCCCCCGCGCCGCGTCCCGGGGTCTGCAGCTGCGGCTTGGGGGCAATAAAGTGTCCTCGTTTCCTGGCAGCTGTTTGTGCCGTCACTGCCCGCCCCCTCCCGCCCCTGCAGCGAGGATGACCCAGCACCGGAGGGCCCAGGGGGTAGGAATCGGCCCCTCCCAGGTCCACCCCAGACAGGGACCCTTCCAGCCTTTGGCTTGCTCCTCGGGGTCCCTCCTGGGCTGAACGAAAGGCCTCCCAAGAATGCAAGGACGTCAGGAGGGCTGGACCCCAGGGGGGCCATGGCTGCCCAGCTTCCAGGTGACCCCACCAGGCCCAGGGGGGAGGGGCTGCCGAGCAGGGTCCCCCGTAGCCCCTGCCGCAGTTGGCCTGATGAGGACCTACTACGCACTGCAGGTTACAGGCTCCGTCCGAGAGGGGCTCCACCCGCCAGGGCCTCCCAGCCCTGTGGGGGTGAGACTCCAACTGAGATTTCCCCTGGACTGTCTTGTCTGGGAGAAATAAACTGTCCTGTCCCTGAATCCAGGGCCACCGTCCACCCCTCCATCCGTCCACCCGACCTCCTGTCCATCCCTCAACTCCGGGAGCCTATTTTTAGCTCCTGATTCATCTGTTAAGCAGGGGTAATGGGCATTGCTATGGCAACCTGGCCAGCTGAATTCTGGAAGGGCCGATGCTGGCCTCTCCGGCAGCGGAGAGGACCACCGAGAAGCAGCCCCACTCCGCACATCTGTGCAGCAGCTGGGTGCAGGGTGGGGGTGGGGCTGTGGGTCCTGGCGGGGGCAAATGTCAGCCTCATCCTGACCCAGCCGCTGAGGCCACATGGCGGGACAGCAGTCTCAGTGGCTGGAACCCCAGGCAGGCCCTGCGCTGCCCTGGGGAACAGAGCCGCGAGGTGGGTCCGGTGAGATCTGGGGAGAGGCAGAAGGCATAGAGGGGTCAGCTGAGAAGAGGGGGGATTCCTCCCTCCGCAGGAGGCAGGGAGGGCCCAGGCAGCAGCCCTAGGGCCGGCAGGGGTAGAAGAGGGGACCCGGGAAGTCCTCGGCCACGCTCCCAGGGAGCCGTGGGGCGGGTGCGCCTTCTCCCGGAATCTTGGGCCCTTTGTCACTTCCCAAGCTTGGTCACAAAACGCCATGCCGTGGCCTGCTCCCTGCAGACACTCGCTCTCGGGTCAGAGGCCACACAGCGGAGAGGCGGCGGAAGGAGCCGGGGGAGTGGGCGGCCGCCGTGACCTCCAGCCTGTTCACTCCTCCCGGCCACTGCAGGAGAGACCCCGCACCAGAGCCACCTGCGGGTCCCCCCTACGTCCCTGACACACGGGCACGGGCAGGCCACGCTGCTCGTTGTTGCTTTCAGCCGCCACATTTCGGCGTGGCGCTTTCGCGGTAGCAGGCTGACACGCTGCGCCTTGTGCGCGTGCGCAAACGGGGCTCCGGGCCTGGTAATAAAACACCGCGGGGCAAAGCGGGGCTTCTCTCTAGCTCTGCGGGTGGTGGTGCCAAAGCTCCATCTCTTTGCCTGTGAACATGCCCCACTCTGCGAGGGAGCAAGGACTCGGGGTCAGCGCCGCGCCCCCCCCACCCCCCGCCACCTTGGGCTGCCCTGCCTGCTGTCCTCAGCCAGGCGTGGGCGGCCGGGAGCAAGCACAGCAGCCGCCCCGAATCGGAGCAGCCGCCCCGAATCGCGGCTGTTCTTTCTTCTGCAGCGGAGAGGAAGCGCGGCAGGAAATTGTGACTAAGTGCTGGTAATTGGTGCGGGGGCGCGCGGCTGTCAGACGCAGAGCCTGGCGCAGGGCCGTGAGCACATGCCGTCCTCTGCCCGCCACCCCCACCCCCGCGTGGCGTCGCCCTGAGTGAGGGCGGCGGGATCCTGGCCCGGTGCAGACCCTCGTCCCCGTTAGGATGTTGGGCAGCCGCCGGACCCCCACATAGGAGTCCTCCCCCTGGGGTGCTTGCCGGGCCCGTCTGGAGCCTCAGGGCGGCGCTTGTGCACAGCAGCCCCACCAGGGCCCCTTTGTGAGCGGCGGCGCCTCCCGGAGGGCGGCGGGGCGCCCGCGGGTTCCCAGCACTCCAGGCCCAGAGCCAGCAAGTCCTGGGCGTGCACGTGTGTGCACGCCTGTGTGCACGTGGGTCACAGGTGCACGTGTTTTGTGTGTGTGCTGTGTGTGCACATGTGTGTTTTGTGTGTGCGCACATGAGCGTGTGTGCTTTATGTATGTGTGCGAGTGTGTATGTGTGTGCGGTCAGGAGGGCTGGGGGGGGGGTCTTTGTCCTCGGCCTCTTTACGGAAGCCTGTCCTGACCCCCAGCCACCCAGGGCGGCCCCACCCCTCCCCATGTGCGGCCCACCCACGCTGCGTCAGCTGGGAGCTGGCCAGGCCAGGCTGTGTGGGCCAAAGGCCCTGGTGTCCTGCCGGGACGGACACTTCCTGGAGCCCCTCAGTGACAGGTTCGCTAAGAGCGTGAGACACAGATGCTTGACCAGCAGAACCTTCCCTGCCCTGGGGGGAGCCAGTCCTGGGGGCCGGGGACAGGGTACCTGCAGACGGATGGGTGGACAGGCCTGCCTTGCTCTGGACCCACAGGGCTGGGGGCCCGCAGCTGGGATGAGACACGAGGACACTGTCTGCCCAGCGCCTCGTCGGACCAGGCCAGACGGCCTCGGCCAGTGGGAGTCCCCAGGCCTGGGGTGAAGGGCGGAGCCTCTGAGGGCCGCGCCAGTACGTCAGTGCGCAGTTTAGTAGGTCCCCGTTTTAAGTGGGAGGAACCGTGGGGCTAGACCCTCTGCCCAGGCGCCTTACCTGGGGTCTCGGGTGTGAGCTGACCCCTGGCCCGGCCTCAGCTCGCCCTCAGGAGCTGGGGAGTTCTCCTTCAGAACGTGGGGCACCAGGGGCGGAAGGTACCACGTGGGTGTTGTTCAGGCTGCAGTCCAGAGCCCCGCCCCTCTGCTCAGCGCTGGGGGAGGGGGGCGGGGGGGAGGGGGCTCCCAGGCACAGGAGGGTCCCAGCAGAGACCACCACCTGGATGGCAGGGATGGGCAGGGGCGCCCGGACTTCCAGTGCGTGCTCTTCGGACAGCTGCCCACAGACCTGGTGCAACCCAGGGGCGAGCTCGCCCGCCCCGCCCCCGCACACGGGTGCGGGCAGGAGCTGGGGCGGCCAGCTCTGGGAGGGGTGCACGGTGCGGACAGGCTGCCCGTACACCGCAGAGTCCTGGAGCCGTCCGTGAGGCCTGACAGAGACGCGGGCACGGAGGGCTCCGCCGACGCGAGCCGCCGGCCTGTCCTCATGGACGCGCGAACACTCACCCACAGGGACCGCGGCCTCGCTCCCCACTGCCGCCCCGCGCCCCTGGCGGGGCCCCTCCCGAGCGGGCGGGGTGGCTGGTTGGCTCGCGCCCCTGGGTCACCCTTGGTTCTGAAGCAGGAAGAACGGTGCTGCCCGAGCCCGTTTTCCCGCTGTCCCCCGCCGCCCCCCTCCTGACCGGCTCCCCCCGGGGATACTGAAGCCGAGGAGGGAGGCCTTCTGGCCGCTTGCTCCTCGCGCTCTCCCCAGCCCTGGTTGGGAAGCTTCACGCTTCTCTAGCCGCTCACTTCCAAGTCGGGTGTTTATCTGCGTCTTCTTCCCGCCCTGACCCCCACCAGAACGTTCTGAGTCTGGTCGCCCCTTTCCCGTCCGTCAGGAACCCTAGTGGTCCTGTGGGTGTCGTGAGGGCACCGGGCAGCCGCCTGCTCTCCCACCTGGGTGGCATGTGTGGGGGCCCAGCCGACTTCTACTTCCAACAACTGTTTGCAAAGCTGACAGGGGCCGACCTGCGGACTCCCGGACTGAAAATTAGACACGTTCTTTTTTTTTTAAGATTTTATTTATTTTATTTTTAGAGAGGGGAAGGGAAGGAGAAAGAAAGGGAGAGAAATGATCAATGTGTGGTTGCTCCTCCCTCGCCCCCTACTGGGGACCTGGTCTGCAACCCAGGCCTGTGCCCTGACTGGGAGTCGAACCAGCGACCTTCAGGTCGGCAGGCCGGGGTTCAGTCCACTGAGCCACACCGGCCAGGGCAGGGAATTAGACACGTTCTTCGGTGTCAGGAGGCCCTCCCTCTGTCCTCTCCTGTCCCTGACCCGGTCCCGCCTCACAGGGACCGCTCGCCTGGTCTCCCCGCGGGGACACCATGTGGACTTTGCCTGAATCGGTGCTTCCTGGACAGCTATTCTTTTTGACCTGAAATAAACGCTTGTTGCCTATTTATTTTTAAATAAAATAAAAAGGTTAATACCACATTCACACTCAAGTCCAGGGACTGGGGTGGGCCGGGGTGGGGGTGGCGGCGGTTGGTGAGTGCTGGGCGGCGCGCTGGCTGCTGTCCTCAGGCCCGGGCAGGAGGGCATGTGCTGCCAAGAAGACGGTGGGGGCTCAGGGGAGCCCCAAGCGGGAGCCGGTGCCTGAAGCCGCCCATCGAAGACCGAGTCCTGTCCCGGCATCTGGGCTGCAGGCTGTGACAAGCAGCAGACGCAGCCCTGGGCAACCCCGGCGAGAGCCTCAGGGCCACCCCGCCCACCCGGCTCCACAGAGGGAATGAGGCCCAGGTTGGGTGGTGGGCAGGGGACACCCCGCCCAGCCACGGTCTTTCACTGGCGTCGGGGTGTGTCCTGGAACTGGACCACCCATGGGTCCGGCAGGGACAAGTTGTGAGGTGACCCGGATGGGAGCCCAGGGTAGGGCAGAGTCTGGGGCCCCGAAGGTGAGGGGAGGGGGCCTGACCGGGAGCCTGCACTAGCCCAGCCGGGCCCGTGGGGAAACG